AGGAAATTATTGTTTTTTTGGCCTCTCTGAAGGTCTAAGGCGCCCTTTAGCCTTTTGTTTTGTATCTTTGGATTCCGCTCCCCTTTTTGAGCGTTTTAAATAAATTCTTACTTATCAAAAAAAAAAAAAAGACAGGAAAGAAAATTTTTACGAAGGCAGAATCGTCCCCCCCGCGCCGAAGGTAGAGAGCAAAACTAACGAAACAAAACACTATCACTATTACCTGAATATAATTGAATTTCATAATAAACATATACACATAAATATAATAATATGTTACTGGGCAATAGTTGTCAAGGATGTATAAACCACATGAGAAATCAGAAGGCCTTTTAATTGTATCAGATCAAAATGGTATACTATATTTATTAACAATGGCACTACTAGAACAACATTAAGGTGCTGTTAGATACATTTTTCTAGACAAATGACATGTCAAATATCTAAAAGGAGAAAATACTGCACATTGTAATTCTAGATAATCAACTGCTACATGCAATAAAATAAATTTTCTTTCTTCTAACAAGTGTTCTACTTGTTCTTCCATACAACTATTCACTTTCTATAAAATATCCTTACTATCTTCAATTGTTACCAACTTATTTACCATCTAAAAAATTCCATAATCCACCAAACATTCTAACCAACCCACCTAAATTCCAGCAACAATAATACTATTCAGCTTTTCTAAAATATCCTACTATCTTCAAGTATTATCTACCATAAAAAGAGTTTCATTCTATCAACCAAACACTCTAACCATCCCACAACAATGAAGAAGAGCTGTTACGCCAGTGTTTTCACCCCTTCGGGACCAGAGCTCCCTTGAAGCTAGATGTGTGTGAGGTGAGCTTCCCGTGGGGTAAAATCATGAACCTAAATGCAGCGGGTATGGGAAAATCACAACAGAATGATATGGCCAATACCTAATGAAGCTTTAAGGAGTGATAATGCAATGAGGGCCCTAAATGACTCTCTCTAGTCAACGAAACCAAATCAACGAGTTTGGGGGTGAGCGTACACTTGGGGAAGGTGTTAGGCACCCCAAGACACCCATACCAAGTACAATTACTTGCTTTACTGTTTATGTTGCTTGTGAATGTAATGTCATCTAAAGAACAAATCAATTCTAGAAAGAGCTAGTACCTTGATAGGCAGATAAAGAATGTATGCAAATAAATGGAAGAATGTAAATGTGGGGTAACTGAACTTGGAATCTATTTGAGTGCCTACATATTTCATTCATGAGTGCCATGGTGAGAATCGGGTTGAATGCAATTTGTTGAAGCTACCAGGGCGGGGGGACCTAAGGGACATCAGAGTCTAAAGAGAGAGAAAGGGTGAGTGTTTCTACAATGCGTCTTGTGGATGAGAGATTGTTTCTAGAATGAGTGTCGTGGATGGGGGAGTGACCGAACCTAGCTATGATGGCTGCCTACATATCCTAATCAAGGAGGAATCAGGTCAAACTTAGTTCGCGCCTTTCTCAAAGGGAATTTGTGCCTTCGAGGGGCGGGGAAATCATATAAACAATTCTAAAGGTCATCTGAAACCTAATGAGGGTAACTAAATGATCTCGAAGACGATGTGTGCCTTCAAGGGCAAGGGAACTCACATAAACAATTCTAAAGGTCATTCAAGTCCTAAGGGAGGGTAACTAAATGGTTTTAAAGGCAATTTGTGCATTCACAGCTGACGGAAGTCATGTAAACAATTCTAAAGGTCATTCGAAACCTAATGAGGGAAACTAAATGATCTTGAAGGCGATTTGTGCCCTCGAGGGCGAGAAAATTAGATAAACAATTATCAAGGTCATTCGAACCTAATGAGGGAAACTAAATGATCTCAAAGGCGATTTGTGCCTTCGAGGGCGAGGGAAATCACATAAACAATTCTAAAGGTCATTTGAAACCTAATGAGGGAAACTAAATGATTTCGAAGGAGTTCGAGGGTGTGGGAGAAATCACATAAACAATCAAAGGTCATTTCAAACCTAATGAGGGTAACAAAATGGTCTCAAAAGTGATTTGTGCCTTCAAGAGCGAGGGGAACATTCTAAAGGCCATTCGAAACCTAAGAGGGTAACAAAGTGGTCTCAAAGGCGATTTATGCCTTCAAGGGCGAGGGAAATCACATAAACTATTCTAAAGGTCATTTGAAACCTAAGAGGGTAACAAAGTGGTTTCGAAGGTGATTTGTGCCTTCGAGGGCGAGGGAAATCACACAAACAAATCTAAAGGTCACTCGAAACCTATTGAGGGGAATTAAAGGCAATAAAGCAATCCTAAAGGCGTTTGTGCCTGTAAGGGTATTAAAAGGCATTTGAGTCCTAAAGGAGTAACAATGGTCTTGAAGGCGATTTGTGCCTTAAGGACAAGGGGAAACATATAAACAACTCTAATTCGAGTCCTAAGAGGGGTTAATTGAGTCTAAAAGAGGGCATGAGAGCCTAAGGAGGGCATTTCAGTCTAAAGGAGGGCGTGAGGGCCTGAGGACAAAAATCAAGTCTAAAAGAGGGTATGAGAACCTAAGAGGAACATCGGAGTCTAAAAGAGAGCGTGACAGCCTAAGAAGGACATTTGACTCTAAAAGAGGGGTTATGGAATTTTAAGAGTATCCAAGAGAATATTTTAGTCTAAAGAAAGAAGGCAGAAAACTTAAGAGGGTCTTGACTGAACTTAGGATTGCCTAAGGTGTTGTTTGATAAAACTGAAAAATTAAATACTGAGAATTTCAAGAGCTGAAGTTTTTAAATGGTAATTAAAAAATAAATAATTTTTTTATTTCTTTTTGAATTTTCAGCGTTATCACTTAAAATTTTATCCCATTTTAAGTGGTGCTTACCATTTTTAGTGATATTTAAATTGCGTTATCAAACACACTAAATTGAATAAGCGTTTAATCTGTTCAGATTAAGTAATTAAGTTATCAAACAACACCTAAGTTGCCTACGTATCCCAGCTAATGCGAAACATGGTGAGAATCAAATCAAACGTAGTTCACTCATAACTATAATGGAGGACTAAGGATCCTAAAGGGCCTTTGATTTCTACGGATCTAGTAAAGCAATGGGTGCCTTTAGGAGAGACAACAATATAACTTTAAAGGCATTAGAGTCCTAAGGATCTAATGAATATGGTCTAGAAGACGATGTCGGCCTCTAAATAACGAAAGGTGAGGGCTAGAATAATCCTAAGGAGGATTCGAGTCCTATCTGAAGTGTGTCGTGTCGTATCTGTTTCTATGCTTCTTAGGTTTGATGATATCCAATTTTAGTAAAGAAATAGTAAAATGATGGAGTATTAAATTTAATAACATAATTGTTTAACATTCCTTTCTATTATTTATATTTAAAATAATAAAAGATTATATGTTTTTTTAAGAGAAACATGGCTTTTAAAAAAAAAGATTATATGGTTTTTTTTTTTTTTTTTTGGTAAGATTATATGTTGTCAAGTACGGACTATTAGATTAGACAAATATTGAAAAAAAAGGGTTAGATGAGCCTCCCATCTATATAGTAGTTTATGGCCGACGCACACAAAAAAAACCCAGTAAAAAATTCACGAAACAAGTTGCCTCATTTTTTTTGCCTTTTTTTTGGCAAGTTGTTTTGGGCAATTAAAATTTTGGATAAGATGGGAATATCAAATAAAAAGGAATTCCTTTCACGTGAAAATATTCGCGTATTTTGTGAGGGAAAAGTTTTCGGGAGAATAGGCAAGACGTTTCTATTTCCTTCCATCCAAACTCCAAAAAAAAAATTAAAAATTTTCTCTTTCCTTTCTTTTCTAATTGATTCCATCTAACCAAACAAAGCCTTAGGTTTTTCCCCCACGTAACTTAGCACGTTTAAACGAACTACTTCGACCTAATTCTCACCATGGCATTTTCGAATGAGATACGTAGGCAACTCAAATAGGTTTCGGGTTTGATTGCCCCACATTCGCATTCTTCCATTTATTTGCATACATTCTTTACCCGCCCATTAAGGTACTAAATATCTTCTTTGTATAATTGGTCTGGTCCTTAGATAACATTACATTCACAAGTAACATGAAAGGTCTTGTAACCGCACTTGATACGACAACACATTCCTCAAGCATAAGCTAACCCCTTTTGGTTTCGTCGACAAGAGAGTCATTTAGGGCCTACATTGCATTATCACTCCCCAAAGCTTCATTAGATGACCTGGCAAACCAAAACTCAATGTTAGGTGGAACCTCCAAACAAATTGGCCCTATCCTTCAGTAGTAGTCACATTTAGGTTCAGGATACTAGCCCACAGGTTCCTACAGCTCACCTCCACATGGGGATACACACGTATAGCTTTAGGGGAGCTTGGGTCCCGAAGGGGGTGAAAAATGCGAGTGCGATAGTTGGCGATTCCACTAAAGATAAATAAGCATATGCTTAAGTAGGTTTAAGCCGAAATACCTTTCATGTTGCTTTTCTTTTTAGTGCATTATTATATGCTTATTTTATTATAAATTGCTTATTGCATTAAAAATAAAATGATGGTCATGCTTGTTTTGTTACATAAACATTATAACATGTCCATTTCTTACTTGCATTGTTGTATGCTTATTTTGTCCATTGCATTATAACATGTTCATTTTGCGGCATATTGTAGAATGCCCGTTGCTTAATAACATGATCATGCTTGTTTTATTTGAATGCATTATAACATGTTCAATTCTTGCTATGTTAAAGCATTTTTAACACCCACTGGATGAAGAGAACCGTGGCAGTGGCGGTTTATCCGGGTCAATTGGTTAGAATTTTTTTTATATAATAAAAAAAAAAAACCTAATATGGGTATCAAGTTATCAAACAGGCTTTTTGGAACATGACCAAAAAAAAAAATTTTGTGAAAAAATACTAAAACATTTGAGCCAATCAAAATTATCATCAAACATCTAAATACCAAGATCATCAAGAAACCCAAAAAGAAATTATGAACAATGCGGAGAGCTAAAAAGAGTCATAGAATTACTTACAGCAGCACAGCATCTATGCTTTTTGCTTCGGTTTCAAGCATATAAGTTTTGGTGGAGAGGACACGACATTGGAGGCTACCTTGTCGTTTCTCCATGTCAACCCGTTTTAAAACTCGCATTCTCTCGCATCGAACCCAACGGCCGGAGTAAAGCCAAATCAAGTAGAACTCATCACCACGAAAATGACTAAAATGCATCGAACCAATGCAGGAACGGCAAAAGCTAGGATCTACATCCATGATATGGCCGTGGATTATCATTTCGAGATCCAAATCGTAGGCACATAAGCCGCACCTATAAGTGTCGTAGTCCACAATCTGAATCCAGTAGAGAGTGTTATCAAAGAATGCAGGGCAACTGATACGTGTATCCATTGAAGCACTAAACCTTTTGGGTAGGACTCCCCAAGAAGCATCTCTCAGATCATAGACGATGAAGAAACCAGCAATCGAACCCAAAATAATCCTCCTTGAAGTATAATCATACACTGAAAAAACAAGATGATCACAATAAAGTGGCCTCATCTCTTGAGGCGGTGGATTAATAGCCTCCCAGGTGTTCTTGCTCGGGTCGAAAACCTCGACTACAAATTGTTCCTCACCAGGTTTTAGTCTAGAAAGGTTAGAACCACCACCAAAGACATAGATCTTACCATCGTCAGCCGTCACAGCCTCAGAAAATTCTCCTTCTCTTCTGATGTTCATGGAAGGAACGGCTTGCCATTGCAAACTAGTAGTAGGATTCGAAGTGTCCAATGCAAGGACATCGCGGCAGTCGCTGTTGGCGGCACTAGTGCAGTATATGGTGGAGCCCACGGCCGCAAAGCGGCTATAGAACGAGTGATGGGGGGTGTTCTTCAGGATCGATTTGAGATCAAGCTGGTTTTTTGATCCTTCCCCTCTTGTTCTTCTTCTTTTTCTGCACAGTACTAAACCAGCTCCTGTCATCGTCCATTTCTTCTGAGTGCAATCCTTGCTTGATAACTTAATAATGTACCAATCCGACACTATCTGTTTGTTGAACGACGAAGTCGCGCGAAAATACACGGTTTTCTCTATTTCCTCCTCCTCCTCCGGCAGAGACCTCGATGCAGCGATTACCCTTTTCCGGGATCTTTGCATTAGCACGAGTCCGATTGCCGTCGCCATCGATGTCCACCGGGTTTCGCTTCGCAATTGGAATACTTGAGGCCTCAATGCGAAGGAGGCTCTTTCCTTATATACCACAATGAGCCCTAGTAATCTGTTTGCCAACCAGCGACACCGTGAGCTTATTACATGCTACTGTTTTTATTTTGGAAGGTAAAAGTGCGGTATATATTTTAGGTTTTGTTTGAAACCAATTATTTTGGAATTTAAAAAAAGAATTGGAATTGGATTTAAATTTCATTTATATATTTGGAATAAATTTGATTCAAAGTTAGATTTGAAATGGGATTTGAAAAAAACATAAATATTATAGTATTTTATTTATCTTTGTTTTTTTTATTATTTTTAGGATAAAGTTTAAACAATTCTCCTTAAATTTTAAAGAAATTTGTAACTAACCTCCTAAATTATCAAAATTACAGAAAACTCCCTAAACTATGCAAAAAAACAATTGCAGATCACCCGGGCCAAGATCCGGTGAGAAATGGCCGTTAAAATTTGTTGAATATTGTAAAAGACCATACTGCCCTTAGAAGCATGAAAGGACAAGAATACCCTTAATAATTAGCAACAAAGCCAAACACGGCTTTTAACCAAATTTCCCGTTGTGCTACCGACAACCCAGAAACGGCGCCGACGAGGACAGAGGACGGTGGCACAAGGATTTACCGATGAGCATGCGAGCTGGGTGTGGCCGACGATGGCAGCGAGCTTGACGAAATGATTCCAGTAAGCACAGTGGAGAGGACGGCATGAATGAGCCACCAAATTTCCCGTGTGTCTTTTCTCTCTCCTCTTGTAGCCGCCGAAAATTTCCCCCCTCTTAGTCAACCAGTGTTCATTGAATCTCTGGAACACTTCCTTGGAGCAGGAAGATTGTAGTTGAGTCAACTATCAGCCTTCATCGACGTTTTTGCCGGAACTGTATCACAGACCAGAGAATATTGATGGAAAGCCGGTGAGATTGTTTCTGGCATTGTTCCGGTGAAAGGAGCTGCGGAACCAATCTGGGTATTATATATATTTGTGTTTGCCTCACATATTTTGATAAAATCTCTGCAAATAAAAAATAAAAAATAAAATAAAATAAAATAAAAATAAAAATAAAAAAACTCCATATGAGAAAAAAATAGAGAGAAACAGAAATCAATAACATATATTATATATATGGATACAGAGTGATACATATATAAAAGTATAAAATCAAAACAAACCTGTTTGTGATGAGTTCAGGAGGAAAGAAGTTGAGATGTCATGCTTCAACAGCCATGAGAGATGTTGTTTCTTGCTTAATTCTTGTGATTTTGGGTTGCTTTGTTGATAGATGGATAATAATTTGTGTAGAGAGAGAAAAGAGGATGGACAGCAAGGAGGAGATGAGCAGAGCATGCAATGAAAGTGGGGGAGTTGTTGCGTTTCCTTTGCTAAGAGTCTAGAGAGAGAGAAAAGGCAAGTCTTACACCGCAGCGGCGAAGCTGTAATCGTACTGTCCCTAGTTTCCATAAATTTTGGCGAAGCTCGCTGAAATCCCAACTGAGGAAATTCGCCGGAATTAACGTCTGGGCAATTTTCCGGCGACGATTCAATTGTCTGGTTCTGATTTTTGACTACCTTTTTGTTGAATTGAATTTTGCCATCCTCATATTTCTTAAACACGAAATATGAGGATGGCAAAATTTGGCTGTGGAGATGTCGCTTGGCTGTGACGAGTTTGGCTGTGGAGAAATCGGTGAGACCCACTGAGGTTAGGGTTTGGAGAGGTCGGCGGATGAGGAGAAGCTCGGCAGTGAGGTCGCGGCGGTGCTCAGAACACGGACGGCAGTGTGCTCAGCCGGTGGAGACGGCTGGTTCCGGACGGCTGATTCCGGTGATAGGCCGTTAAGAAGAAGCTCGGCCATCATCTTCCCAAACCCATTTCACCAATTTCACCAATTTCGTCAATTTCTATGCCTCATTTGGTTTAGCCTTCCTCTGCTTCGCAGCACCACCACCACCGTAAGCAAGACCCAGATTGATTATGCACTTGATTATCTTGCTGATTGGGTCTATAAGTAATGTGGGTCTTTGAGTCAGATTGGTTTGCCGGCAATGTTGCGAAGAGAGCTCACCGGAGCTAGATTAGACACCAAATTTGAGGAAGCCAAAGCACAATTAGAAGCCATTATATATTAATTATAAAATACATAAATATCAGCCATTATTGGTTGGTTTGATATTATAAGAATATTGGAAGGGTAGTTTCGTCTTTTTCCTTTTCCGGTGGCTTGTGTGCAGATTGCAACAAATTGAAATTGAAAGCTCAGAAAAATTTCTTATAGTTATATGCGGTTAGTCGCAAACCCCCATAGTTCAGGGGAGTTTTTTACACTCTACCCTTAATTTTATTCTCACATAGCACATACCGGAAGAATAGTTATTGATCGCATCATAACTGCTTTTAACTTCTTAATTTGGTGCGAATATTTAGTCATTTAAGAGAATGTTTGGTGCGCATTCATAGAACAACTCTTCTGTTCCTGGTCATTCGTGTTTTATTAGACATCTTGGAACTGATTGCATATGGTGCTATGAACTTGAAAGAAATCTAAGATCCATTGATCAGTGCTTCATTTTCAAACACATTATCTTCAATGTCTGATACAATTTTTTATTTATTTTTATGATTATTATTATATATTGAAATACATGTTACCCACCCATCTTATTGTATGCAAAGAACCAATGTTATAAATCTTCAACTTTGAAAGCATTATTATTCTTGTGCCCTTGACCACAACTTATCTGTAGTACGTGCATCAGACTTGGACCTTGATTTGAGGCTTCAAAATGTTCAATTTGGACTTCATGCTAGTATAAAACATCAATTCATATAATCTTTGTGCATTTAAATTTTGAGGAATGTACTTCATGCTAGTAAAAAACATCAATTCATATAATTGTGCATTTATATTAACATAGAGACAACTGCATGCGTTGTACTTGTCTTATAGAAGTAACCAAATCTTAACAAAAGCTCATTAATTCCTTATTGACTGCACCGCACAACAAAATCAGCCATTAATTCTCACGAAGGGGCCGGCATGATTATTAGAAACTCATAATGCACAGAGCCCTTTGTGGGGGCAGTATTGACCTTTTGTGTGCAGTGAGCTTAGAGATGAGCTAGGCTCCAACAATAAAATGTGTTGACAAAGTTGATTGATATACAAAAACTGAAAAAGTTGATTGATAGTATAATGTATACAAAGACCTTTCAAAGTTACCAATGCTTATGACCATGACTGTTCTCAGATCCTACTTTCTGCAAGTTCACTTATTAGATACTTTTGATACAAATATTGACAATTAAGCAAAACTCAGTCATACTGAAATTTTAATTTCTCAGTTTGTTTTCAACAAGTTGATGAGAATATATTTACGTATAAATATATTTTCTAGGACTATAAAAGGACCCTCAGGACAATAACATGGACGTTAAATTCATAACCAAAAACTTGTTATCAGACGGTGGAGTTCTAGCTCTGACAATGTTATTTGTGGGATGGTGGTACTAAAAGGAGGCAGGCAAGAAAAACATTCTAGGTTGATAGAATGGTGAGTTGGATGCAATATGTATGCTTATTTATGAATAAGTTATCAAAATAATTGAAGGATGGGGGGGTCAAAGATTGAACTTGGTTTTTAAAACCCCAACTTTTGATCTGTTACATTGGTATTGTTCTTTGTTTGGGGTAAACGTACATTCACTTCTTTCTTACAGCTTCTCATAATATATGATTTGAGAACAACATTGTAACACACTTATATAAGAAGATAAATGGATGCAAGTACTCAAAATTCTCCTCAGATGGTGTTTTTGGATGGCTGTGGGTCTGTCTCACAGCCATTAGGGTTGGGCTTTTTGATTGGGCCTTGTAAAGATTTATATAGTAGGGCGACAGAATTTATGCTTTTGTGTGAGCTTTACTCCCTGTGGGGTTTGTCCCCTTTTTTGGGGCTTGATGCCTATTGGGCTTTACTTGGTTTGTCCCATTTTTTGTTTGAATTTACGCTGTAAAAAAAAGACTCTACTCTTCTTTTATGGTACTACTAGTATACTTAAATTAGCTTGCATAGAATATCATAGATAAAATACAGTCACATTAAGGCCAATGCCGGACCGATAGTTCCAAAGAATCGAAACTACCTAAAATTTACCGAATGGTAAGAATACACACCACTAGAATTGAAGTGACTTCACTGAGCTCACAATAAGAATTAAAGTTCAATGACCAAGGCAATCAATACAAATATTTCACATGAAAGCTGAAACAATTCCACAAACTCTTGTCCATGGTACATAGAGGCACCCACACTTTCAAACCCACAGTTGAAAAAAGAATATTGCAAAAATGAGTTGAAGGCTAAACACAAAGTAATATAGAGAAACATGAAGCTAAAAGTCAAAAACTAATAACAATAAATTAAACCCACAAAATTACTAACTTTTACCACAAAAGAGAGAGAGAATTTATTCATATAGACATTAAAGTACCCAAAAGGGCCATTGTTGCAGAAGAAGCTTCTCTTTCTCTGAGTATATGTACCAAAATGAAAAAGTTTTCTTCCCTTCACACACAGAGAGAGAAAAGCTGTATGTATAACCCAAAAGAGACTACCAAGTTTGAATACCAACATCAATTAACCAGCAAAACAATATGATTAAGATCATAAAATCCCAACAATCAGAAAACCAGCACAACCAGTCACGAAACGATCCCCATGTAAGCTCCCCCCGTCAAGTCATCAACTAACTCGGAAACTGACACATCAATATCACACTCTCCAAGGCCCCTTGTTTTGTTGTAAATGTTCATGATAAACTCGTGAAAAAACTTCGGAAGAAAATCCGGATAAACTCTAAAGAGCTCCTCGGAGATCTCAGTAGTGGACTTCAGAATTTTCTTAACGACTGCCCTATCCCGCTTCTTTTTCTTCTTGCTCTTTGGCCTTTTCTGTCAACAGATAATAATTTATTCAATTTTGCCAGGGAAAAAAATAATAAATAAAAGAATTTTTTTTTTTTTTTGTTTATTCAATTTTGCCAGGGAAAAGAATAATAAATAAAAGAAATTTTTTTTTGTGTACCTCCTCGTTGGCGTGATCAAACGCCTGTCGATGAAATTCAAAAACTGCTATCGCACACTCATAATCAGCCAGATACTTCACCTTTCTTATATTGCACCAGGTTTGTCTTTTATCAGATCCGATTTTTTTCAAAAAGCTATCGCACACCTCAAGCTTCCAATACCAGTCTTTCATGATTGTTGAATATTTATCTAATTTTACCTGTTGAGAAGCCACAGTTTTGTCCAACACCAAGTAGAACTTACGAACAGTTTCATATCTGCCATAATAGGATCTTGAAATATTGGGTTTATTTTTGTTAAAACCCAGAAGTTCCTATCAATGTTATTGACAATCAGTTACAGTTCCTATCAATGTTATAGACATCATCAGTTACTAATTACAGCAAAACGAAAAAAGAAATATAAAATACTAACTTTTGTTGATTCATTGAGGTGCAGCAAGGTAGCACAGTTTTCACTATATCCAAGAAAAGCGATACGCATTCAATTCTATATGTACGTTCCTCCCCAAATGGCACTCCCTCACCTGCTGCCATAGCTAACTTCACTAGATCTGAAAGATCTACAAAATCCTTATGAAATCCAGGTACGGGATCTGTAAAAAAGTTATGAAGAAGAAATTATGTACTGCAAAATTATAACTTCGTGAAAACTAATAGACCACCTCATGCAAATCCACATATCTTGCGACCACTATACTTCAACAATAATGCACACAGTTAACTTGATCCTGTATCAAGTAAGGTCAGTTAGCCTAAATTCACTTAAACATGTTTTAGATGCCTTTGAATTCGTACTCAATTTAACAGATATCTTGCTCAAAACTAACCATTTTGGTGTAAACAAGCTTCCTAAATATGTCTGAAAGAACTTGCCTACTGTGTCGGTATCATTCATGGACTGCTAGGACTTCCAAAAAGAAAAAAACTAATTCTTAATTAAGATTTCAGATGAAGCAATGTTAAACTTATTTTCATTTATCAGCAAATATTTTTGTCTATATTCATCACCAATATTGGGATGACAAAAGTATTGATGTTTTAGCTTCCAGTTAATCAACTTTTCAGATCCCAATTAGAATGCAACAACATAAAACATTAACTCAGTCACGAGTTTCAAGAGCAGATAATGTTCTATTCCGAAATCACCAAACTCAAAGAGATGGTCGTGGACAAAAATCCATTTTAGTCCACTTCACTCACTTTGAAGCACCCCATACAATACAATAAATATAATAAAAGAGTTTTATGTATACTTACTAACCAGAATGCTTACAGGGTGAATGCCGAACATATATCATATACCATACCTACAACGCGGTGATTTTACACATTCAGAGGAGACTATTTAACACAGTAAATTTTTTCATTATGTGGCATAACCAACCAATCTATAAATTAGATTTCTTTTGAAGCCAGAAGGACCACTAGTAAATTTTATCAGTTTTTAAGTGTTGTAGTATAGTATTATTTCACTCCATGAAGAATATAGGGTAGAATCTACAGAATGTATTTTCAACAAAAATTTTCATAAAAAAAATATACTTGCCAACTCAATCATGGGGCACAAACTCAAACAGCAAGTCAACTTAAAAGTTCAAATCAATTCCTCGATGCCCATGTGCAACATAAGACATCCACAAATTATGTTTATAAAGCAAATAAAGAAATTTGCATCTTTCATACTCCACAGATTGTTTAAAATAGCACCAGATAATCCACAAATTAGGTTATCTAAGAACATCTGACAATAGATTCTGGTCCTACAATAATTTCATAATTATCACCATAATTCTGCAAAAAGCCCAACCAGTGTCCGAAAACCCCACAAATATATTTCCTTTTATTGATTTCAAACTTTTGAAAAAACAAAACAACCACCCTAAGAAATTCCAGTTCATTCTTAGTGACAGAGGGACAAATAAAGAGAAAACGCAAAGAAAATGCAGAAAAATAAAATAAATTCAATTCTAAAACCTAAATAATCATTGTTAAATGCTAATAAAGGGGAAAAACAATAAATAAATAAAAAATGGCTAGTTCAGTGGTGGTATTTTTTTGCACTTAGAAATATGCATTCAACATCTTTTTTTTTTTGACAAGTAAGAAAAAAAATATGCATTCAACATTTATATTCCGTATTTCCATTTTATTTTCTAACTTCCACGCAAAAGTAATTTCCTAGACATTTCTTGTTTTCCCTTTCACTATTAGAAACCAAAAAACTTCTTAGGAAGTGGGCCCAAAATTTTCATTTTCCACCACATTCCTCCTCATGGTATAAGGCAGACACACACATTCAAAGTAGACATTTGCACCATCCAAGGTTCTGTTTGGTAATATTTCCAATAACTAATCTCCCTTAAAACATATACATGATATTGATAACTGCTTTTATCTTTTTTGGTAAGATGTATAAGCCCTCAACAGTCAAGAGATACATAAGTAACCCTTGAAATGCAAACAAACAAAGCAACCAGTTTGTTAATTCAATATATTCTCCATGCTACTAGAAATTTAGCAAACCTAAATATAGTTCAATTAACAAACAAGTTTCAATATACATCAACAATGCACATCCAGTTAATCCCAAATTTAGGGCAAAATATAAAAAACATAATTTCCCAAAAAAAAATGAGGCCAAATGAATTCTTACCTAACTGTCTCTCGGCTGGCCAGAAAAGTTTAACTTTTTTGTTTTGGTGCACAGTAACCCCATTAATCAAATTCCCGTGGTAACCTATTTTGTCTACGTAATGTTGGAGTCCTCTAAAAATTCCCCTGCACACACACACACATATATATATATACACTATTAGATTGTAGATTGTAACAATAAGTCATAAATAAAAAAATTTAAAAAAATGGTATAGAGATATACCTAAACACTTCAATAAAATCTTTTCCTGTGCCAACGATTTTTCCCTTCTCGTTTGGATTGAGGGATTTAGAGAGAATTGGAGAGAAAAGAAAGGGAAGGATAGGGATAGGTGTGTTTGGATGGAGGGAATAGAAGAGAAAAGAAAGGATTGGGAAGGATTTGGAGGGATAAGCTATCCCTCCAAATCCCTCCAATACAGTAAAACCAAATCTCTCCAAAATTGACAAGATTTGGAGAGATTTGGAGAGAAAGGGAGCTAATGACAAAAGTAACCCATACGGAAAATTCGCCGGAAGTTGCAGAGATCGTCGGGAAATTCGCCGGAAGTTGCAGAAATAGTCGGAATAGTCGCCGGAAGTTGCTTAGATCGTCGGAAAAGTCGCCGGGAGTTGCAGAGATCGTCTCCTGATTTTGGTAGATTTTGTAGTTTGCAGTTGGAGAGAGAGAAAGCCGATATGGGTTTTGACCTTCTCTTTTTTTTTTTTTTTTTTTTTTTTTTGTAGATTTTGTAGTTTGCAGATCTGTAGAGAGAGAGAGCCGTGGGTTTTGATTTTCTAATTTTGGTAGATTTTGTAGTCGGCAGTTGGAGACAGAGAGAGGAAGCCGATATGGGTTTTGACCTAGAGAGGAGATGAGATCTGTGAGATCGACAATAGGGAGATGGAGGAGGCTGAAATGATTTTGCCTTCTAACCCTACCCAAAAAGGGTAAAATAATAATTTATCAATTCTTTTCTTTTCTTCCTTGTTATCAAGGAACAATATTATCAATTTGTTTCTTTTCTCTCCTATCTATCCAAACATGAATATAAATTATAACTATCATATAAAATTAAGCATTTTGTTACATAATATTTTGAATTAATGGTTAGTTTTAAAATGTCATTTAAGATTTTTTCAAAAAAAATAAAAAAATTATTGTTGGTCCTTATAGTACACCCTTGCTACAGTGCAAAAACATGTAAAAATATCAAATTACTATTTCGATTTGTGGCCACTATTCACTAAATGCAAAATAAAATATTTTTTACTGAACATATTTTTTCACTATTTACTACTATAGTACCCCCACAAAAATAAAATTAGTCTCTTCTGATCTCTCTCCTCCTTTTTCTTAATTAAAAAAATTGATTCTTTAAAGTCCTTAATCTTATATTTCTTTTTTAGATTTTCTATCACCTTGTGTACGTTGAATATACTTATGCGTAAAGATATATAAGTATATTATATATGGTATACATAATAGATACTTTTTTTTTTTTTTCATAATTCGTACATTTATGCAAAGTATGTATATTTATATGCATTTGTACATATAATAGCCTTGTCCAATATCCTACGAGAAGAAGTATATTTGCAAATTGTAATCTAAGAGCTAAGAGACATATAATAAACAACAAATGCCCAATATCACGGAGCCAAATTACCCAATAAGATTAGCCTTGTTCCACTAATCTAAGCAATTATGGTGCTTTTATTTCTCTCCTCCTTCCGTAATTCAGTTCACACTGGCTACGTGAAGAAGCATTTGCAAATTGTAATCTAAGAGCCAGACTTGTTCCAAATTTATGGAAAACCGAACGACATATAATAGCCTTGTCCAATATCCTATTACCTGCCGAACTTTTGATTTGTTACATTGGTATTGTTCTTTGTTTGGGGTAAACATTCACTTCTTTGTAGAGGATATTGAGCTGAAGAATTCGGTTACAGACATTCACTTCTGCACTTTATGTTTTATAAGTTGGATTTCTTAGAATTCTTACAGCTTCTCATAATATATGATTTGGTATGCTGTATAATGCTCGAGGATCATAAAGAGCACATGTATCTTCGTCCTGCTGTATGACGACGAGTTCACCTCACTCATTTCTACAGTTGCTAGTCCATCACAGATTGGTGCTGTACACGTATGGCAGTTCATGAATGCTGTTTGAAAACTTGTTAAAGCTAATCTTATTAAATGTTGCATTATTTCAGAATTGCAGGTTGGTGTACGTTTCACTCGCATTGGTCATCCAGAATCAGAAAATCCACATGTTGGTGAGTTTCCTTGTTCTATTCTAATGATTATGCATATATTTATACCCCCTTGGTTAAACCATCATCATTTCTTGGATTCCAATATATAATCATGTTATGCATGTTCTTCCTTAGATTCTGTTTCTATTTCTCTGGCAGGATGGTAGCATTCATCTTTGTTGTCATTGTTATTGTCATCGTATTTTTCATTTTTGTTCTAGTCTGATCTAAACTTAAAGAAATCAGTGCTGTTATTTTGCTTCATCTTTCCACCCCGTCCAGAATTGTTCTTTCTAGGTCGAAGTTCCATTCGTTCTTTCTGGATAGTGAGTGTCCTTTGCTGTCTTGGTCACAAATTAGACCTAAGAGCTCAATCCTTATTTTTTCTGTTTTCGTTCATATGTGCTTGAGTCAAAACTTTGGGATACACTTTTACCCTGCTTATTCATCAATTTGTTTCATTCTGCAGCTGTCTTGGGCCGTCTTCCAGGCATCACTGTGTATAGAAACATTCAACAGTACGCAGAAGCATATACATACAATTGGATTGTCATTGTTAGAATTGATGCCCCAATATATTTTGCCAATACAAGTTACATCAAAGACAGGTGAAAACTAATGCTTCCTTAAAATGACATAATACATAAGCCTATTGGATATACTGCTGCAAGTGTGACACCAGCTTGTTTGTACTTTGTACTTTGTACTTTGTCGTGCTATGGATGTGTGTGTGTATACTTAAATGGACTTTGTACAATTTTTAAGTCGTGGTTCTTTCCATTTCCCTAACCGATTGATTTTTTCTCTTAGTATTAGTTCTTTGTCACAATTTCCCCATCCCCAAGCGTGTATTGTGCTATTGTAAGTGTACATTTTTTAGCAGTGACTGATTTTGAGAGAGACACTGCAGCAAGTCGTTGTGGTTACAGTATCCAATTCTTTTCAGCCTTGTTATGGCATAAGATTTTATAAGAAAGAAAAAACAAGTATATAGGGTCCAAAAACTCAATATTGGTTCTAGAATCGGAATTGAAATTGGAATAGAATGCGCAGAATTCTAATTCTTCAATCTCAATTTCAAGATGCAAATTTCATTACGATAAATGCAACCTAAAAGAAACATAATGTTTATACTTCAAATGTGGATGGTGACTACAGGTCTTACTTAAGATGAGAGGTCCAAATTTGACTCGATTCATGCCTTAATTCACATTGTCATGCCCTAAGTCACATAAAACGGAAGCAAATTCGAGAAATCACAAGTAGTATAAATAAGAACATGAGAGCGATACCCGTTTAAAAGAATTGTGTGACTTAGGTCATGCCTATTAAAAAATAATAAGAAATTTTATCATTTCATGGCATGTCTGCTATAAAATTTATCAATATTTTGCAATTTTGCAGAATTCAGAAATTATTAATTACCCAGTCAAATTAACAAAGAAAAAAGGAAAAAAGAAAAAAAAAAAATATATATATATATATATATAGTCATCACAAGTCGTCCCACATCGAAATCCAACAGAACACCTCCTCCAAGTTTAGTGCTATAAGTAATGAAGAAGTGGGAACGTGACAAATTGCCTTAAACTAATGAGTAAGGAAAACAAAGCGAGCGGTGAGAGCTGCTCGCCGCGCCCAAACACTTAGTGCGCACGAATTTTTGAAGGGGTTATAGGCTGGCCGAGTGTTGACGCTGCTTACTTTGCAGAACTCTCTCGCGCGGGCCTCCCAACCTCACACCCCCCAATCGACAGTTTTAATACTTTCTCTCACTCTACATGGTTCTATACAAATATATATATATGTATGTATCTATATGAGCATATAGATATATCATTCGATTTGGGAAGAAATCGAGGACACAGTCAACCCTCTCTCTCTCTCTCTCTCTCTATGGGTTTTGGTGGTTAATGGGAATGGAAGTTTTAATTTGATGGATATTTCCTCTCATTTTTTTTTTGTTTTGCAGGGAAAGCAGAAAAGGGATGATGAGAAGCACATGGCATCTTCACAATTCTAGCTTCTTCAATCTTTGAGCTGGTTCTATAGATTTGAGGTTCTACCTGAAACAAGTTTTTGTATTAATAACCTCTGTTTCTGAAATTCTTATTAATGACTCTTTTTCAGATTGATTATCTACCTTTACTCACCTATTGGTTTCATTCAACCATCCGATCAAAATGTAGATTTTGTCCTTGTGTTGTATTAGGGCTTGGGATGCTCTGTGGATTCGCGTATTTGGCAAACCCAGGATGCATAAATAAAAAATTAATAATAAAAATAAATAAATAATAATAAGTAAATAAATAAATCATTGCTGAGATTAGTGGGAAGGCTAGATGGAAAAAAATTTAGGGGCATATTTGATGGAAGTATACAGGATTCTCGAACCTCAACTAAGCTATGGAATGCAGAATATTGAGGTGTACTCTGCGTCGTCCTGTTTATGAAATTGCTGAAAACAGAGTTTAGAAGGAAGAGGTTGGGGAAATGCCTTGAGCCCCCACCCAAACAAGTGTATAATTGATGTTGGATCAGCCATTGTTTGGTATATAAAATATTGAAGCAGTGCATAATATGAGAATGGTGATTTACAAAATTGAAAACAAATTAAAAAAATATGTTGTTTTTTCTGTTTTTCTTGGGGAAATTGTAGAATTTGTTTTAGTGAAGTATTGGATTCGCCAGAGAGTGGGACCATTGAGTTGAGTGAATTAGTGAGAATATTTTTTTATTTTCTTTGCTGGTGGCAAACAAAGTAGAGATGTTACTGTCAACTTGTTGAAGTAGTGTTTCAGCCTTTTTGTGGTTGGTTCTTCAGAGTTCATCAAGATTAGTTGATTTGAGAAGGTTTTCACCTCTAGTTTTGACTGTATATTGCTGTGATTTTTTTTATAAGTGGTTGTAGCCGACTGCTTTTACATTGGTTTGGCATCTCTAGATATGGTCCCTAGGCTATGAATGAAGTTGACACTTCGTCTGCAAGTGCCAAAGTTGGCACTTCCTTTCTAATCTGGAAGTCCTCCTCTAGTATGACAACATGTCAACATCAAGATATGGATTGAATGGGTTTTAATTTTCTGAATTCTATGGACACCTTTATGATTCACGTGCTCTAGCTTTTTGGTTGTAACATCTGCATAACTTGTGTCTTGATGTTGCATGTTTTTCTCGGAGATGTATTAGTTTTAGCAAATGTAGTGATTGCAGAAAAGCCCTAACTATTTACCGAAAAAATAAAAAAGAAAGGAAAAGCCCTAACCCTATTTTAACTGACGGTCTAGAACAATCAAGAAGTGAGGAAAGTTTTAAGGATTCTGAAATTTTCGATAACCTATTGAAAACTTGAGATAGTGGATATAAAAAATCAAGTTCTTTCTGTGTCGAATATAACGAAGGATTACAATCTTGGTTGACATCTTTGAGTTCAACCAATTATGAGGATTTAGTATCAGTTTTATTCTTTCCTACAAAGGCAAGTAGTTTCTTCTGATTATGTGTTTGCTGGAAAATATTGTTTTTGGTTGATCCCATTAGCTGCACTTCCATTCTTTTCAGGAAGATAACGTGCCATCAATAGAAGCCCTGCATTATTTTTTTGATTTGGTAAAGTTTTTGGGCCTCAGTAGCATGAGGTAATAATTCTGTCAGTTACAAGAACATTATTTGAATCCATGTGGCGATTTCACGAGAATAAGGATTTACTTTGGGATGGAGTGCCACTGTCCTCTTTTATAAAACTTAGTCGTTGGTAGTATGCTACAACTATTGGAGATGCTGACCTTCAGCCACTAATTGTGGAATATATGGTTTTCCTTTTTCCCCTATTCATTTATTTTCTTTTCTGATGTGCGATTTGATATTGTGAAGATTGTGTAGGATAGAAAAGTTCTGTCCAGAACCCTATATAAGAAAGTGTGTAACTTCTTTTTCACTAACTTGTATTCATGTTATCAATGTCAAAAATTATATGCAAAATTATGGTTGAGGGCAAGATAACAAGCAAAAGGGTCTCAAGAAGTATTTGCACTTCGAATATCAGCCCTCATATGGAGCCTGAGTTCTTCCATTTTCCTCTTTTAATTTTTTAGCTTTTAAAACTTTATTCTTTAGGAACAAAGGTATGGATTTACAGAGAAGTAACATAGTAGTATAAATATTATATCCTTGGCTCCATTTTACAGTTATAAAAATTCATTTTCTTGGGCCAATGAACAAAAAAAAAAAGTTGTTTCTTGAGAAACAAAAAAAGCACTGCATAAACAGTGTCTTTGAGTACAACAGCTATAAGTGCTACTTAAAGAGTTCCAAAAATTGTTGGAAATGTATTTCCTAGATCAACTCGATTTCATGTGAAACAAGTTTGAGCTTGTGATGAAGAGGACTCATATTAGTTACTTACAAAAACGTCAGCTTCTTTGTCAGATTTCATCGGGACAAAGAAGGCGTAATAATGCTATCTAAAAAAATCTTCTTTTGAGGTTCTACCTGAAACAAGTTTTTGTATTAATAACCTCTGTTTCTGAAATTCTTATTAATGACTCTTTTTCAGATTGATTATCTACCTTTACTCACCTATTGGTTTCATTCAACCATCCGATCAAAATGTAGATTTTGTCCTTGTGTTGTATTAGGGCTTGGGATGCTCTGTGGATTCGCGTATTTGGCAAACCCAGGATGCATAAATAAAAAATTAATAATAAAAATAAATAAATAATAATAAGTAAATAAATAAATCATTGCTGAGATTAGTGGGAAGGCTAGATGGAAAAAAATTTAGGGGCATATTTGATGGAAGTATACAGGATTCTCGAACCTCAACTAAGCTATGGAATGCAGAATATTGAGGTGTACTCTGCGTCGTCCTGTTTATGAAATTGCTGAAAACAGAGTTTAGAAGGAAGAGGTTGGGGAAATGCCTTGAGCCCCCACCCAAACAAGTGTATAATTGATGTTGGATCAGCCATTGTTTGGTATATAAAATATTGAAGCAGTGCATAATATGAGAATGGTGATTTACAAAATTGAAAACAAATTAAAAAAATATGTTGTTTTTTCTGTTTTTCTTGGGGAAATTGTAGAATTTGTTTTAGTGAAGTATTGGATTCGCCAGAGAGTGGGACCATTGAGTTGAGTGAATTAGTGAGAATATTTTTTTATTTTCTTTGCTGGTGGCAAACAAAGTAGAGATGTTACTGTCAACTTGTTGAAGTAGTGTTTCAGCCTTTTTGTGGTTGGTTCTTCAGAGTTCATCAAGATTAGTTGATTTGAGAAGGTTTTCACCTCTAGTTTTGACTGTATATTGCTGTGATTTTTTTTATAAGTGGTTGTAGCCGACTGCTTTTACATTGGTTTGGCATCTCTAGATATGGTCCCTAGGCTATGAATGAAGTTGACACTTCGTCTGCAAGTGCCAAAGTTGGCACTTCCTTTCTAATCTGGAAGTCCTCCTCTAGTATGACAACATGTCAACATCAAGATATGGATTGAATGGGTTTTAATTTTCTGAATTCTATGGACACCTTTATGATTCACGTGCTCTAGCTTTTTGGTTGTAACATCTGCATAACTTGTGTCTTGATGTTGCATGTTTTTCTCGGAGATGTATTAGTTTTAGCAAATGTAGTGATTGCAGAAAAGCCCTAACTATTTACCGAAAAAATAAAAAAGAAAGGAAAAGCCCTAACCCTATTTTAACTGACGGTCTAGAACAATCAAGAAGTGAGGAAAGTTTTAAGGATTCTGAAATTTTCGATAACCTATTGAAAACTTGAGATAGTGGATATAAAAAATCAAGTTCTTTCTGTGTCGAATATAACGAAGGATTACAATCTTGGTTGACATCTTTGAGTTCAACCAATTATGAGGATTTAGTATCAGTTTTATTCTTTCCTACAAAGGCAAGTAGTTTCTTCTGATTATGTGTTTGCTGGAAAATATTGTTTTTGGTTGATCCCATTAGCTGCACTTCCATTCTTTTCAGGAAGATAACGTGCCATCAATAGAAGCCCTGCATTATTTTTTTGATTTGGTAAAGTTTTTGGGCCTCAGTAGCATGAGGTAATAATTCTGTCAGTTACAAGAACATTATTTGAATCCATGTGGCGATTTCACGAGAATAAGGATTTACTTTGGGATGGAGTGCCACTGTCCTCTTTTATAAAACTTAGTCGTTGGTAGTATGCTACAACTATTGGAGATGCTGACCTTCAGCCACTAATTGTGGAATATATGGTTTTCCTTTTTCCCCTATTCATTTATTTTCTTTTCTGATGTGCGATTTGATATTGTGAAGATTGTGTAGGATAGAAAAGTTCTGTCCAGAACCCTATATAAGAAAGTGTGTAACTTCTTTTTCACTAACTTGTATTCATGTTATCAATGTCAAAAATTATATGCAAAATTATGGTTGAGGGCAAGATAACAAGCAAAAGGGTCTCAAGAAGTATTTGCACTTCGAATATCAGCCCTCATATGGAGCCTGAGTTCTTCCATTTTCCTCTTTTAATTTTTTAGCTTTTAAAACTTTATTCTTTAGGAACAAAGGTATGGATTTACAGAGAAGTAACATAGTAGTATAAATATTATATCCTTGGCTCCATTTTACAGTTATAAAAATTCATTTTCTTGGGCCAATGAACAAAAAAAAAAAGTTGTTTCTTGAGAAACAAAAAAAGCACTGCATAAACAGTGTCTTTGAGTACAACAGCTATAAGTGCTACTTAAAGAGTTCCAAAAATTGTTGGAAATGTATTTCCTAGATCAACTCGATTTCATGTGAAACAAGTTTGAGCTTGTGATGAAGAGGACTCATATTAGTTACTTACAAAAACGTCAGCTTCTTTGTCAGATTTCATCGGGACAAAGAAGGCGTAATAATGCTATCTAAAAAAATCTTCTTTTGAGAAAGCACACTGGTCAGTGCTTGATAATTAACCATTGGGTCAGAGGTAAATGCATGATTTTGGAATTCATGTCTCACTCCAATGGTACTCTATGCGTATTGTCACGCCCCGCCTATGGAGGTTGTGCCACGCAGGCGACACGCAGACGCTGAGGAGGACGCTGTATGGCAACTGCATGGCAAGTGGAGTTTCTAGAGTCTTCCGGAATAGTCTAGAGTTATGTGGAAGATTCTAGATATGTAGAAATGTGTAGAAGTGTGTGGAAGGTTCTAGAGTTCTCCAGAGTTGTGTGGAGTAGTATGGAGAATTCTAGAATGTTGTAGATACTAGTAGATAAGTATGGAAGTGTGAAGAAGGTGGGAGAAGATTCTAGATAATCAATCTCCACCGTTGGTTAGAATGCATCCTAGCCGTCCATTAGGGATGGGGATGCCTATAAATAGAGGTAGGACTTCATTTTGTAGAAAAACAAGTCCTAGAGTGAGTCTTGAGAGCCTTGTAGAGAGCTTGAGTGCTAGCCTTGTACAAAGCATTCTTTGAAGTAATAGAAGTGTTCTTTCCTTGCCAACTTAAGTGTCTTAGTGTGTGTGAGTGTGCAAGCCAAGTGAGGAGAGGGCGAGTGCAACTACAACACTAGTAAGCGCACGAGGGGAGTGTGTTGGCTAAGGTGTGCACGGGAATTAGGCTGACCAAGTACTTGCGAGAGTGGAAGCAACATCTTGGTGCCGCACGGGAGCAGCTAGAGTGGTGCTGAAACTCTAAGCCCGTGACAGTTGGTATCAGAGCAGGTTCGTCAAGGGAGCTTTGTTGGAGTAGACATGGCTAGCGGAGGAGACCACCAAGTCCACATCTTAGAGCAGAGCTTGGAGGAGAAGCTTGCCACACACTTGGTCTACACGGAGACCAAGTTTAATAGGCTCGAGAGAAGGATGGCGGAGCTCTACGAGCTGATTGATGGCATCGCCAACAAGGCGCAAGAGAAAGAAAGGGACTTGCATGATTTGGTAGACGACTTGCGCGTGGAGATGGCCGAGTGCAAGAAGGAGTTCTCCCAGGCGCGCGAGGTCGTGGTGAAGCCAAGGAAGAAGAAGGCGCCGGAGCCCAAGGAGTACGATGGGGCAAGGAATGCGCGCCAGATTGACAACTTCTTCTGGCACATGGAGCGGTACTTCGAGTGCATGGAGATCGAGGATGATGAGGAGAAGGTGCAGACAGGCACTATGTACCTCACAGACACCGCCGCTCTATGGTGGAGGCAGCGCTTCACTGGTAGAGGCGCAAGAGCAGTTGACACATGGGAGGAGTTCAAGAGGCAGCTCAAGAGGCAGTTCTACCCTGAGTGCGTTGAGGACCTGGCCATGATCAACCTAAGGCGCCTGAAGCAGAAGGGCAGCATAAGGGAGTATGTGAAGGAGTACTCCAACTTGATGCTGGAGATCCCAGAGATGCCGGAGCGGCAACGCGTGTGCTTGTTCATTGATGGGTTGCAGTCTTGGGTAGCCACAGAGCTGAGAAGGAGGGAGCCTAAAGACTTGGCATCCGCAATGGCTATAGCGGAGCGCCTTGAAGACTTTAGGCACGATGACAAGAGGGCCACGTCTCCCAGGAGGGACCACGGTAAAGGTGGGGGAGACCGGCGCTTCAAGAAACGGGGCTCGCCCAAGTCTAGTGATGATGAGCACAGCGATGAGGAGAGACGCCCACGCCATGATAAAGGCAAGGACCATGGAGAGAGGTCTAAGGCTAGTGGCAAAGGGGAGCGCCGCGATAAGGGCAAGTGGGAGCCGAAGTGCTACTTGTGCGATGGGCCGCACATATTGCGACATTGCCCCAACAAGAAGACCATGAGCGCCCTTGTGAAGGATAAGGGCAAGGGCAGGGTGGACGATGCGGGCAGTGATGAAGATAGGTGCATGGGGGCTATGCAGATGCTGAGTAGCATGGCGCATGACACCAAGAAGAAGGGCAAGGCAAAGAAGGTAGCTGGGGTGCGCTATGTGGATGCGCAGGTTGGTGGCAAAGCCGTGCAAGCGTTGGTAGACACGGGCGCTACACACAACTTCATTACCCCAGAGGAGGCGCAACGACTTGGCTTGGAGATGCGCAAGACGGAAGGATGGATCAAGGCCGTCAACTCCGAGGAGGCACGCGTGAGTAGAGTGTGCAAAGAGGTGGAGCTATGCATGCAAGGATGGAAGGGCAAGGCCGACTTCCAAGTTGCGGAGATGGACGACCACGACATGGTGCTGGGGCTGGAGTTCATGGACAGGAACAACGCCGCGCCACTACCATGCCTTGGTGCGTTGATGATACTTGGAGGCGAGGAAGGCAAGGCCGCATGCATGGTGCCGCTCGTGGGCAGGAAGGAGAGTCCAGAGGTGGCAGTCAACACGATGGAGCTCGTGAGGACTTCACATCTCCCGAAGGGCGCTCGTACGTTTGGGCCAAGGACATATGCGCAAGTGCTGATGACCTGCGAGAGGCTGGGTCAGCTGAAGAAACCGTGACGAGGGCGTCACGGAAATGGGTGGGGGAGAATGTCACGCCCCGCCTATGGAGGTTGTGCCACGCAGGCGACACGCAGACGCTGAGGAGGACGCTGTATGGCAACTGCATGGCAAGTGGAGTTTCTAGAGTCTTCCGGAATAGTCTAGAGTTATGTGGAAGATTCTAGATATGTAGAAATGTGTAGAAGTGTGTGGAAGGTTCTAGAGTTCTCCAGAGTTGTGTGGAGTAGTATGGAGAATTCTAGAATGTTGTAGATACTAGTAGATAAGTATGGAAGTGTGAAGAAGGTGGGAGAAGATTCTAGATAATCAATCTCCACCGTTGGTTAGAATGCATCCTAGCCGTCCATTAGGGATGGGGATGCCTATAAATAGAGGTAGGACTTCATTTTGTAGAAAAACAAGTCCTAGAGTGAGTCTTGAGAGCCTTGTAGAGAGCTTGAGTGCTAGCCTTGTACAAAGCATTCTTTGAAGTAATAGAAGTGTTCTTTCCTTGCCAACTTAAGTGTCTTAGTGTGTGTGAGTGTGCAAGCCAAGTGAGGAGAGGGCGAGTGCAACTACAACACTAGTAAGCGCACGAGGGGAGTGTGTTGGCTAAGGTGTGCACGGGAATTAGGCTGACCAAGTACTTGCTAGAGTGGAAGCAACATCTTGGTGCCGCACGGGAGCAACTAGAGTGGTGCTGAAACTCTAAGCCCGTGACAGTATGCTACTTATATCAGGGTTGAAAAAATTAGTTGGGCCTTCTGCACTTTAGTGGTTCTAACTTCCATTTAGTACTGTTATGATTTTTGTCTAATTTCTAGGAACTTTGCGGAACGATTGAGATTTGGATTATTTGGGCTAGATGAGACTTGTAAATTTGGTTTTATTCCCTTCGTCTTAATCTTGATTACTTAGAAGACAGGTACAAATTAATCTTACCAGATCATAGCAATCTATTTTTTAACTTGATCTTTGATAGAAGTTATGGTTTTGATCCCAGCTTCTTAATATCTGTACTTATGCAATTACACTTATCAAAATACATATATATATATATCTATACTTATGCAATTACACAGTGCCTTGTTGGAAGGCATTGTAGCACAAATCATTGTCAATTATATGCTTCTGCTCCTACAATAATTTATACTGAAGCATTCAAAATATCACTCTTGCGCCAGTCCTGACTTACATGGTACGATGTTGATTGAAGAGACAGTCATATGTTGGTTGAGAGAAGTATCTTTATTCCTGCAAACACGCTGCATCGACAGTTATTGGCTTTTCCTTCTGCATTATGCATCTATTGTGAGGTTCATATTACTCAGTTTAACATACTGCAAGATAAGGCGAGCTTTAGCAAATTGAGCTTGACCACATGATTGGATTAATTGGCTTTAAAAGATAAAAAAATCTGAGGGGTGGGGTAGTAAAAATCATAACCAATCTACATTTATCCACTTATATCTGTTCACTTGCAACTATGGGCACTGACTATGTTGGTCTGGCAACAATGACTAAAACACTAGTGTCGTTGTGTGCTTGTGTGTCGGACTTCATTTTTAGCCTACTGGTCAATAATATTGTCATGATAGAGTCTGAATCGGACTCTCTATCATATTCCAAAAGAAATTATTAAGCATACAAATAATTTTAATTATCAGAAACACTGGCATGTTAAACTTTTTAATAGAGAAATTTAAGGATCATGCATTACAAGAGTACCAGCATCCTTCTGTATTAATCCTTGCATATATTTAATTTTTTTTCCTTCTGATCTAGGTCAGATGCTTATGACACATTATTGATCACGGAGGGGTAAAGACTAAAGAGGGGCAGAGGGAGTTTTCAGGGCTTCGATTGTGTGACTTCAGAGTTTGGATTTTAATTAAATATCTGTAATGACGAATTCATTTTGTTTGGATGCATAGTCTATTGTTGGTTTGTTATATTCTGCCGAACGAAATTGATTGGTCAATTATTTTCAGTGCTACTGTCTCGATGGTACTGATTGATCAGCAAAAAGGAAAAGAAGACAAACTCCTCAAGAATTCAAAGAAGTGGGCACAAGTCTTTATGCATCACCAAGAAACATCAATTTGAAAGGTAGACTTTGGATTTCCTTCAATTGAAAAATATGTCAAAAGTATTATTTTTTCTTGATTTCTAGATTATATGCAAGATTGTTAACTGTGATTCACTATAATGGTATACTGGCACATCTGCTGGGAACAAAAGGAGGAGTTGCAGCACAAATTCGATGCGCGCAACCGGTTGGATGGTTGATCATGGTCCATTCTGCAGTATGCTGTCAGATTTTTGTATGATCTTTATCCAGCAAGTGAAGAATTAACCGAACGATGCTTAAATGACATTTACAGCTAGCTATCTTGATTGGAACAGATAGGAGTGGCCAAAGTAGAGAGGGAAGATCCTAGAAGATGGCAATAGTATTCCCCACATGGAAAATCATATGTAAAGCAAGACAAAGACAGTGAACTGATGTAAGCTAGAAAAATACACTGATCAGAGCAAGTTTCTGAAAGAGCCCATGCCCAATTGGCAATTTGTTGGGACTTGAAGGTTTGATCTTTCTTTTGGTTAAATGTTTTGCTCTGCTAATTGTAATGCCAAGAAACATTAAAATAGTTAGTGAATTTACCAATATACCCATGTGTATTCACTTGAATGACCCAATGTTTTGCTCGCATCGCCACGTGCCGGTCTGTGAATGGTGGGTGATGGCAGAAGAGGATAATTTGGCTGCTCCTGTAGGATGCCATTTGGGTGTTTGTGTTCTTGTCCATTTTGGAGGATGTCTAAATGGTGGGGACCCACTCATCACGTGGAGCGGCTGCTCAATGTCAAGCCTAAAAGACAAAAACAAATAGTCATTTACAAATCTCCTCTAATCCCCTCTCCACCAATTATCATCTATCTCCCACGTGGGACTCCTGGTCCCACCCCACCATTTTGTTCCACCTTTCAATTGCTATTTCATTGTATTGCGCCTCCCTCGTGATCATATGATCGACCCCAACTATACTCTCTCTTTCTATCTCTCTCTTGTATATTCTCTCCTTGTTATGTAGTGTTGGTGAAGATCAGAAATTGTAGGTATCATGGGGGATTCTTCTGCTTCATACATACACATGGTAATTCATTGAAATTGATTTATGATTTTATTTATGTTTACTAACTTGTTTTTGGTCTTGAAGTTATTGGGATGATCCATCCCCCAGAGGAACCGGTACATGATAATTTTTTAGCATCCGTCTGGAGCAAGAATCAAAAGAACTTGGATCCTTAAGAAATTTATATGTTATCTATATAGATCTATTCATATATAATATATGAATGGTTATGTGTAAGGAAAAAATAAAATAAAATTCTTGTTCCCTATGGACTTCTATTCCTGTCTCGTTGTTTGGTTTTGAAATGATGCTTTTCATGGGGTTTATGCTACTGTTTTTGTTTCTGTAGTTTAGTTTTTGAATTAAATTTCTTATGGGTTTGTGTTTTCGATTGTTGATGATCATGACTTGATTAATTCAGGTGCAGCACCTAATAGAGAAGTGTCTGATATTCCACATGACTAAAGAAGAGTGCATGGAAGCCCTCTCTAAACATGCAAACATCAAACCAGTCATCACCTCCACTGGTTTGCCCTTCTCTCCTCTCCTCTCCTCTTGAATCTCTCATGCATGTCTAGTTACCATTTGCATGCGTATCTGCACGCTCACACATGTAGATACTTTCCAAATATAAAACTTGCATGGACTTTTTTATTTCCTAACAAAGAATCAACCCAGCTGCTAGCTACTTTGGATTCTCGGATGGTTTCCAAACTCCAGATGATTGTTTCGTCTAAAAAGTTTACATGGACAAACTTGTCTTAGGTTAGATCCTCTGCCCAAATGGAAAACTTGTATAGAAAGTAAACTTGCTTTTCCTTTTAGTCTCCTTTTGTTTGCTTGGACGTAAAATATTTTTCAGAAAATATTTTTTTATTTTTTGGTGTTTAGTTGTAGTAAAATATTTACAAAGAAAAAAAATATTAAAATTTAACAAAAATAATTTATTCATCAATTTTCGGCAAATTATTTTACATGTCCCGCCTGATGAACTCGACCTCAATTTCAACGTAGACCTTTGTCCAACACCGACAAAGTAAATAAAAGAATATTTTACCTGAAAAAGAAAAATATTTTTTAAAAAGAATATTTTATGTCGAAGACAAACGGAGCCTTAGTTTCATAACTTTTCTCAAGTGTTGTCATCACATCAAATCATCAAAACTGCATCGATTAACTATGTTAACAAAGCGACTTTGTTCATGTAAATAGTGGTTTGTATATGCAGTGTGGAACGAGTTAGAGAAAGAGAACAAGGAATTCTTTGAGGCATACTCTCAATCCCAGAGCAAGGGAGATCGAATGTCAGAGGCAGAGACGAACGAAATGATTCAGAAGATGATATCGGAGTCTTCTTCCAAAGATTCCGATGACTGATATATACATATACATATCACTAAAAATGATCTTATTATTAACCTCTGGGTTCTGGTTATCATATATGCAGTTGATATCTTAGACATGGATCCTTCGTGTGCAGCCAAACTCGAAGGTAGTTGTTTTAGTACTATGTGGTCCTAAGTAACATGATTCTATGGACAAAGTACTTGTGCGGTCCTCAACTAATTAGGTGGTCAATGTAAAGTCAAAGTTCATGCTTTCATGCAATTAACAATATCTAAGAAAAATGGTTATTGCAACATCATAGTACCTGTGCGAATTGCAGAGGATGTTACTGCAGATGGAGCTGTAAGGCCAGTAGGGTTTAGTTCTAGTGCTCTTTTGTCTCTGTTGTTGTTGTGTGTATATATAAACTGGTGTATGTAGAAAATCGCGTGTGGTCGTCAGACTAATCAGCTATTGTATGTGCGTATTAATAAATGAAGCTAAAGTGGGGACTACGTATTTGTCTACATCATTCAATTCCTTTTAAAAAGTTTTGGAAAAAAATACAATGGCAAGCTATTTGCACGAGGCTCCGGTCACTGTGAGTAATATAGATGGAGTTGTAAGGGCAGATGGCGATTTAGATTTAGCTTGCAAAAATGGTTTTTTTTATTTTTAACACATTCACTTTGCTTCCAAGGATGACTTGAAACTTTAACCATTTATTTTGATACTAACACACTCATTTAAGGTCCCGTTTGGTATGCATTTTGTTTCTGTTGTTTTTGTTTTTGGGCTATTACAGTGTCGATTTTGGCAACAAAAACATGTTTGGTGCAGCTTTGTTTCATTTTATACAGTACTAAAACACTTTGTGAACAGTGGCTCAAAATCAAAATACTAAAAAATTATTTTTTCTTGTTTTGACAACTATTGATGGCCCAAAAGGACTAAAATCATAATTGTTCATGTTTTTGTTTCCGAAATTTTCATAGCAAAATATCGTTTCCAAACATGCTTTCGATTTTTTTTCAAAACGTTTTTACAATAAAAATACTGTTTTTGTTTTAGCCAAAAACAACACATAAAACAAAGAGCCAAACAGGTCCTTAATTTCATTTTAAATTTTTTAATTTAATATTTGATCAATTTAATATAAAAGGGGGGAAAAGGGGTAAAATGAGTGATATTATTTGAAGTTATTGTACTCTTTTTTTTTTTTTTTTTCTTCTTTTAATTAGTAGAATGCTTTACTATTTTTTTTTAACAAATTTTGAAGATTTGAAATTTTAAATAAAATTGAGACACTGAAATTCATCTAATAACATGATTTTTAAAACTATTGGCTGATACCTCTGTCACGTGGTACATTCATATATATGTATACACGTGTGTGTTTTTCAAAACAACAAGTTAACTTGTTAGTTGCTATTTCACTCCACTTATAATATCTGCTTTTTTTGTTGTAAAGTTACAGCGTTTGGGCTTAAGTTGATTGCCATTTTTTAATTATTTTTTAACCTGACAAAGCAAGTCGATTGCCAATTTGTTTTGGGTTTGTGACATGATGCACCTTTGTAGCTTAAAAAATAAACCAGTCTGAGATGTGAAAGGAGTGCACGGGTCAGTATTCTAATTTGAGTACGGCACGGTTTTGGATGGCCCATCCACATTCCCATTTAACTAATTAATAGAGCGTACCCGGCCCGCCCATTTAGTCCCCCAAACTTCTTCTTTTTTATTTTTTTTCCTTAAATATAATTATTTAACTATTAAAAAAATTCATAAAAAAAGACCATCTATAATTTAACATAAAATTCAATATTATAAATTCTACAATTGCAAAAACACCAACAGACCAAAACTGAACAATAAAATAATAATAAAAATAAGAATAATTTAATAATTTATTTACTTAAAAATGACGGGACGACTTCCCCACCCTAACCCCGAACTCACGGGAGACTTTTTTACTAATAAAACTCATCCCTGTCCAAATAAGTTAAATGGTTCTCAAAATTGATTTAAACGGAAAGAGACGGGTATCCACCCGCGAGATAAATTGCCAATTTGCCATTCTTATTTAAGTCACTGATGAGTAACCCTAATTGAGATGATCTAGTGATGCTCAATTTCATCTCCCCCTTACAAATATAAACACTCTTTCATAATATTTTGTGTGTGTGTGTGTGTGACAATTTAGCGAAAACAACTTAATTAATTTGATAACTCTCTGAATTAAATTTTGAAGAAAAATAATATTTTTCATAAATTAAAAATATATATATATATCGGCACTTCAACAACAATTTTGGCTGAAAATGTTAATGCGGGCATGTGAGTCTGATTCTACCCCAATAGAGAATAACCAAACTATTCTTGAAATGACGCTATCAATGGAGATAATCCACATCAATTTCAATGATAAATATTCTTGAAATTGTACCCTAAGAAAGGCAGTAAAAAGTGTGTATTTTTATGAAAGACAATGTGTTTTGGACAAGGATTCCAAAATTGGTTGATTGTGTGGCGGTTATAACCAAATGTTGTATGTGAATTCAAATACAATTCAAATTTAAATGCAACTTCTTTGTGTACTCTCTTTTTCGCACATTCTGCCATGTGTCTTGATTTTTTAGAAACTTTGCTAATGATTTTGTATGCACACACCAATTTTTTTTTAGGGCGACCTCCTTGAGGTTTGGATTATATGTAACTAAATGTAAGGTTTGTCATTTTTTTTTACAAACACCTTCCTAAGTCAAATTTTGTTGTAAATTTACTTATTTATCCTTATTATTATATTACTAAAAATGTCAAAATATTTGAGTAAGTCAAATGACAATTTTGCCCTCTACACTTGCAACCCCACAATTTTCTCTCTTTTATGTCAGATTTTGTTCTCTTTCCACCCACTCCATGGCCGCCGCAGCAACCCCCACACCACCATCTCTCTTCTACTCTCTACCTCCACAAATTGCTGCCAAATGCTGATCAACAATTATAGACTCCAAAAGAAACTTACTTGCAACGATGAATGCAACGAAATCACCCAATTCGATGAGGAGATACGAGAAAGACCCATATGTGATGGGAATTTAGATCGCAAATTTGGCGTAGCAACATACAAATAGCACAGCGCAGAGAGGCAGAGGTGGCGTACGAGAGCAGCACAGAGAGGGTCCGATAGCGTTGTGAGCTTATTTTCCGGTGAGGTTGAAGATGCCGGAGCTGACGACAGAGACGAAGCAAAGCCAGATTAGGCCCCACCAAGTAGTTGGCGCATCATCTCTATTTACCAGCCTGATCTATGATGTTCTTCCATACAGGTGATGTAGAGGCCTTTAATTTTCAAGGGTGGAGGAACAAAAAAAAATTCATATCTTCAGATTCAAATGCCTTAAAACTGACAGATTTGAATCAAGCTTAGAATTAAAAAAAGAAAGAAATTAATGGTGGTGGTGGCTGTGATTGTGGAGGAGGCGGTAGAGGTGATGGTGCTTGGTGGTGGTGGTGGTGGTAATGGTTATGGTGCTTAGTGGGTTTCAAACTTTATTAAGGTTTGTTTAATTTCCTACAAGTGGGGTTCCTTCAACTTCCTACCAGTGCGTATATATATATCTAAAGTTATATATATATATATATATATATATATATAGTTTAGGGAAAGTAATCTATTAAATTTGGGGTTACCACCAATACACTTGCCACCACCAACACCAAAGCATTTTGAGATGAACATTGAATTTTCATACAATTGTAAAAGCTTAATTGAATCTTGTAAAGGTCCGGGTTTGGAAATGGCAATGGTGGTGGTGGTGGTGGTGGTGGTGGTGGTGGTGGTGAATGGAGAGAGAAAGGAAAGGGAGAGAGAAAAGGTCAATTTTGTCTCTTAGAATATTTTTTTTGTAATTTAATAACACAATAAGGGTATTAGGGTCTTTGTTATTTATTTGAAGGGCATTTTGGTCCGTTCAACTAAATTTTATGACAAAGAGTATCAATTTTTGCACGGAGGGAAAGCCTTTGCAAAATGAGGCAAACCTCAGGGGACGCATTGCAAAAAATATGCAAACCTCAGATTTATTTACAATTATGGCAAATTTCATAGGAGGTCATTGTAGTTTGCCCTTTGTTTTTTTTACACTCATGTACTAATTTTTATGCACAACGGTAAAAAAAAAAAAAAAACGAAATAAGTATTTCAAAATTTTAAACAGTATTTTATTTCCACATCAGCATTTAAAAGTTCATTTATTTATAAATTCACGACTTCGACTTCCTGTAACTGTTTAATAAGGTCACCATTTTATTGTATATACATAATTTCTGCATAGAATTACATTTTATTTTTGGGAAGCTAATTTAATTCAATTCTTATAAAATTAAGGTATGTTAGGCGATTACCAAAAATAAAAGATAAAGATAAATCAATGGCGAAAACCAATCAAAATCAATTGAAGAAAACCAAAGGCTTTAAACACTGATCAATTATAAACTTCACATTCAATTACAACACCAACATTTTCACACGAGCATTGTTCCACACTACAATGACATGGCAAACCCAAGTCTCTTTCAACAAGTAACACACACTAGAGGGTGAGATAAACATTGAACTGTGTGATTGTTTCCACACCATCTGTCATGTGCTGATCTTGATGATGAATTGTCACAATGGTAGCATACCCTTTTGCGTTCTCATACTTCCCGGTCCCCCCGATCACAGCCAGCTGCGACTCGTGCGACGCCGTCCGGTGGACCCCAAAGAAACTAATGTTGTCCTCCACCTCATGATCACCGCCGTGGAACAATGCTGTTAGGACAATCGTGTGGCTGCTACCATCCAATGAGCTTGACAGGTAGAATCCTTGTGCTTTCCCGATCACAGAGGATCCGAGTTCCTGCCCTTCGGTTAATTGGTTGTCGACGACGGTGATCGTGCCGAAGATGATCTGTTGGAGGGTTGTGCCGGCCGGAAGTTGGCCCGCGGTGACAAACGGTAAGTTGCCGCCGACAGGTACATTGTTGTTACCATTGTTTTGTATGGAGGTTGGTGAACCATTGAGGCCTACAAGGAACGGGGCATTGTCATTGTTGATTATGCCATTCGCACCATTTATAAGTGGGACACCACCGTCCAATGGGAAGACTTGACTGTTGGGTACGGAGAAAGGAATGCCGTTGAGATCGGAGTTGGCCACAATCCCTGTGACAACCCTGCCTGATGGGTGTGATCCCCCTAGGATATCATGCATGAAGAAAGACAATGCAGGGTGTTGTGGGTCCGGATTTGCTGATGTGGCACCAATGGTGCCAACCGTAGCGGTCCCACCAGCTGATGTGGCTGTAGGGGTTGCTACCGGTGCCACACTGGCGACAGGTGTTGTCACTGTATTGGGCACACCAACTGATGTAGTGATAGGAGTTGCCACTGGGGCCACATTAGCAACAGGTGTTGTCACGGGATCAGGTAGATTAGCTGTAGGAGCCACGATGGCACCAGGCACCACCACTGGGGCGGGTCCAATTGGCAATGTGGCGGAAGGGGCAACTATTGGTGCCACGTCACCTATAGAAGCTGGAATTTGTCCACTTGGTAGTGGGTTGGCTGGGTCCACCACAGGTGCCACATCAGAGACATCCGTTGCCGTTGGATTGGATGCATCGGGTGTATTGACTTCGATTGGGGTTTGTGGGTCCACTTCATCAAGGATACGAGTTGAGTTGGCACAATTGAGGTTGATGGCAAGCAACAAGAGATAGATGATAGTGGCCTTGAGTGTTTTGGAGATGCACGCTTGAGTTTTGGCCATTTTGGTGTCTCGAAGAGAAGTGAGAGGGTCAGCAATGAGATGGTGATCTTGTTGCAAATCAGAGCGAGCCTAAATGTGCATATATAGTTTGAGGAGTGTGCAATGAGGGAGGTGGGGTTGATGGGGTGGAGTGGGTACATGCCCTTATTTTATAGGGTATGTTCTAGTTGGGAAACCCAAACCACTACACAAAAGAAGTCGTACAAAATTAAAATGCTAATGACAGAATTTTTTAGAAGGCCACTGTTAAAGGTATAAGATATTACCGACTCTCCCACTAATTAACAACCCTTAACTGAGAGAATCATAATAATTTATGAAAGATTTCATAGTGTTTGTATATATTACCTATAATGGCCACGTGAGCCCACTTTTTAATGGTAGCCTTTCAAATGAGTCCACTTTTTTTTTTGAAAAGAAAAATAGATAGTTTTATTTGTCATTTTTGTTACTATTAATTTTTAATATGTCCAACGTTAATTCGTAGCCCAAATTGTAACCGAAGTTTCCCACGAATGGTGAAATTACTATTAAAGCAATTTCCCCTTTTTAATTAATTATTATTATTTTTTATTATTTCTCTTTTAATTTCTTTTACTAGCAGTTTTTCGTGCATAATATAAGTTGTTTCAATGTATAAATTCCACAATTTCTCTCTCTAAATGTTCATCGTTTCTACAAACTCTCATACCTTTCAATGCCAATTTCTTTATCTTATTTACACACACATATATTGATATATATGTATGTCTTTTTTTCCTGAGACATGAACTGTAAACTACTCCAACTTTACAAAAGGTGCCAAACTAACTGGACGACTGTCCAATTTTGTTAATTTTTGTTGTGATTATATAATTTTATCTTTATAAATTACCTAAAGTACCCCTTAGTGAAGTTTCTATGTTGAAGACGGACCCTTCTGTGTGTGTGGAAAACTAGTGTTAAGAGGCCCATAAGCATCCACAAAACAATCTAAATTTCGAAAAAAAAAAATCAAAACAATCCTTCAGAAACTTCAAATGCATTCCCTTTTCTTCTTCAGTATCCACGATGCCTCCCTCTCTCCTCCTCGCAGCCTCCGCGCACGGCGGCGACGCCGACCCACCACCAGCATAGTGCCAGGCCTGAGATCCAAGTCCCTAATTCTCGTCAAAATTTGGTGTCTGATTCTTATTTGGTGTTACATTTACAGCTGGGGTTTCGCCGTTCTTGGTGAAATGAAACTGTAGGGTTTATTCTATTGGGGACACAGTTCCCTTGTGGAGTGTTCGTGGGTTTGGCTCTGATAGACTTCCTGAGCCATTCGAATGGGATTTGATCTCCAAAGACTATCCCTTTGCGTTCATATTGGCGAGTGTTGGGTATTTGCTCACTATGTTAGCCAATTGTGTCATTCTTCATATAGTGACATCCCTCTGCAAGGTATAACTTTTTATATTGTACATTCATTTGCTTTCTCAGATTTCACACAATACCACACATATAACGATTATGATTTTCTACTTGAGAGTTAGTTAATGAACTGGTAATTTTGAAAGGACAGAGATATATTACGGAAATTGACTCTGGCACTTAAAAATGATTATGGAGTAGCCTTAAGATTTGTGGAGGTTTTGAAGAGAGAGAAAAAAGAGAAGAAGAAGCTCTTTTTGTCAATTATCTTGTTGCAAGTAGGAAGTTATTTTTTTACCCAAAATGATTTGCGGGCTTCTAAAAAAAGGGCAAACCTCCTGTCCACAAGGCTCTCGCCATTGCTTAGTTTGATGGTCAGATGTACAGAGCCTTAGTAGGTTGATCATTTGAAGAAGTGTGAAAAACAGAAAAAGCAATTATTAGTTCCAAAGAATACAATACCATTTGTTGGATTGGTTTTGGGGGTTTGGTATTTTTTAGGGCAAAATTATAAAATCAACAAATTAACGAAATTGTATAGGTGCCCAATCCAAGGGTGTAGTTTGGAAGCTTTTGAAAATTTGATGGGTTATTTGCCACAAAAAAAAAAAAAAAAAAAAAAAAAAAAAAAAAAATTCAATGGTGTTTTCCTTGAAATTTGAGTATTTAAAGGGGGTTTAGTGTAATTTTGCCCTGTTTGTACTAGAAGTGTTAAAATCATTATATTAATTATAATTTACATAAAATATTCATAGCATATATGACTGAAGAGTACATATGCACAGAACTTCAATTGCATCATCAAGTGCTTTCTGTTTAATAAGTGCATCTTGAAACTGGACCAAGCATGTTAGAGTTTTAAACCCCTTTCAGGATAAACCATGGAACTTCTCAAATTGAAAGATAGCCAACAAATGTTTCTTCTGACACAATTTAATTTCCATGTCATTATAATGTGCCAGATCTAATTTTTCAGCGGAATAATTTTCTTATTCATTTTGAATGATTACCTGCATTACATGTAAAATCATCAGACTTGGGTTTTATTGAACATACTTGATTTGCTTTCCCGAATTAATCATCACACTGGGATTCATGGAACATACTTGATTTGCTTTCAACATTCAGTACGAGTTTCAACATTCAATATATGATTGAATTATTTCCTAAATATTGTAGTTGCTTTTTTGCATCTGTCTAATTCATAGAAGGTGTGTGACTGTGTCAAATATATGCAACCTTCACATGTCAAGGGTCAATAATTTTTGTGTCATTTGAAAGAACATTCTAATATGTTTCTTGCAGTATTTGTGCAGGCATCTTATCCTTCAAACTGGGGTTACATCAATATAGGAAATCGAAGAGTACATTCTTTACTCATTTTTTTCTTCTTTGGTTGATTTCTTTCTAGTTCTCGCTGAATCAATCTGTTTGTTATAACTTACGTAAATTTTAAAAAACTGTCTGTTATGAAATTTATGAAAATTGGAAAAGCCAATTTTACTTTTACACAAAAAGTAGCATATATAGGCTTAATTATTGAAGTTGATATCATGTAACATCGGCAATTATCAAGTACATTATAATTGAAATTCCCTTTCAAAAGGTAACTCTCTAGAGGGTGAGATAAACATTGAACTGGGTGATTGTTTCCACACCATCTGTGGTGTGCTGATCTTCATGACGAATTGTCTCAATGGTGGCATGCCCTTTTGAATTCTCATACTTGCCAGTTCCACCAATCACAACAAGATGTGACACGTGTGAGGCCGTGCGATGGACCCCAAAGAAACTAATGGTGTCGTCTACCTCATGATCACCACCATGGAACAATGCTGTTAGGATGATCGTGTGGCTGCTACCATCCAATGAGCTTGACAAGTAGAATCCTTGTGCTTTACCAAGCACAGAGGATCCTAGCTCGTGCCCTTCGGTTAATTCGTTGTCAACCACAGTGATTGAACCAAAGATGATCTGTTGAAGGGTTGTGCCAGCTGGAAGTTGACCGGCTGTGACAAATGGTAAGTTGCCACCCACGGGTACATTGTTGTTACCATTGTTTTGTATGGAGGTTGGTGAACCATTGAGGCCTATGAGGAATGGGGCATTGTTACTGTTGATGATGCCATTAGCACCATTTACCAGTGGGACACCACCATTGGTTGGGAGGACTTGACTGCTGGGTTTGGAGAAAGGAGTGCCGTTGAGATCAGAGTTGGCCACAATCCCGGTGACCACCTTGCCTGATGGGTGTGATCCACCTAGGATATCATGCATGAAGAAGGACAATGCAGGGTGTTGTGGGTCCGGATTTGCTGATGCAGCAGCAACTGTAGCTGTCCCACCAGCTGATGCAGCAGCAGGAGTTGCCACTGGCACCACAGCAGCTGCAGGTGCTGCTACGGTATCAGGCACATCAACAGTAGGAGTGACAGCGGCACTACTGGTGGCAACCGTAGCAGTCCCACCAGCTGATGTGGTGGTAGGGGTTGCCACCGGCGCCGTTGTCACGGCATCGGGCACATCAGCAGTAGGAGCCACCGTGGTGCTAGGCAGCACAACTGGGGCTGGTCCACTTGGTGACGTGGTGGAAGGGCCAGCTACTGGTGCCACAGCACCTGCATTGGCTGGAATTTGTCCACTTGGTAATGGGGTGGCAGGGTTCACCACAGGTGTCACATCAGAGACATCTGTTGCCATCGGATCGGATGCATCAGGGGCATCTGCTTCGATCGGAGGTTGTGGTTCCACTTCGTCAAGGATCCGGGCTGAGTTGGCACATTTGAGGGTGATGGCAAGCAACAGGAGATAGATGGTGGCCTTGAGTGTTTTGGAGATAAGCACAGGAGTTTTGGGCATTTTGGTTTTGTGAAGAGGGGCGTTGAGAAGAGAAGTGAGAAGGTCAGCTGTGAGATGGTGATCTTGTTGCAGATTCGAGTGGAGCCTGAATGTGTATAAATAGTTTGAGCAGTATGCAATGAGAGTTGGAGTTGATGGGATGGAGTTGGTACATGGCCTCATTTGATAAGGTATGTTCTAGTTGGGAATATCAAACTACTACACAAAAGATGTTGGAAGTATGGTTTTGTTGGCTAGAACCTTAAAGTTTCGTGAATACCTGCCATAAGTGCATTTTATTTATTTATTTACTTTCACGACACGATTTAGAAATTCTCCTAACGAATTGAAATCTGCCTTGAAAACATATGGTTGACGCTTTTCTGGAATTTAAACCATCAAAGAACCAGTCAATGTGCTACCACACAACACAAGGACACTTGTACCATTTCAATGTTTAGCCATAAGTATACTATAGAAGAAAAATAAGGAAGCAAAACTGGAAGTATACATTACCATAGAAAGGGAAAAACTGAATTAATAATCTTTGCCAGATGTATATATTTTTAATTCAACTGTTAGATTGTTTCATATAACATATGCTCGATGGATCTAAAATTGAATTTGAGTTCCACAAAGCCAAACATTTCCACATTAAAAAGCATTCGAATTTCACAGAATTAGCACTGCAAATTAACTTCAATTTTGCACAACTAGAAGCAGCCTTAATGATAATTGAAAACTTTGTTCTGCTTGCTGCCTCAAAATAGAAGAAGCCCACCTCCTTATTTCAGGTTTGGCATAATATAACCATATAGTAGTTCTCATAGAATGAGTGAAATAGAGATAGGATAGAGAAAGCTTCATAAAGGTTTCTTTTACCACTTAAAAGCAAAGTAGTTCTTTTTATTATTATTATTCTCTTAATGAACCCAACAGAGTGATGAAACCTCATAATCTAACCTCGTGGCATATATGATTGAAGAGTTTATATGCACACAGCTTCAATTACACTGTAAACCCCCAAACTACTCAACTTGAAAGGCCTAATACCCAATAAATGTTTCTTATAACAAAATTTATTTTCTAATTTCCATATTATTTTTCCAGCAGGACAGGTTTCTTATTCATTTTGAATGACCAGAGTTTACCTGCATTGCTGTTTAATTTATAAATCATTGTCATCACATGTAATTGAAATCATCAGAATTTCGGGTTTTATGGAACATACTTGATCTGCTTTAGTGAATGAATCATCTCACTTGAGATATATAAAACATGATTTGCTTTCAACATTCAATATGAGTTTCTGTGAGTTTATATTCTTCTCCATTATTCCTATATCTGGTTCAATTTGTTTCAAAAAATTGTAGATATTACTTTTTTTGTCTGTCTAATTCATATTATTCACATGTCAAAGGAGGATGAAATCATCCCAGTATATTTTTTGTAAAATTTGAAAGGATATTCAAATATATTTCTTGTGGTATTTGTGCAAGTGTCCTGTTCTTCAAACTGTTGCTACATCGGTTTTGGGAATCTATAAATAGATTCTTTAGTCTTTTTTCTTTTCTTTTATTTTGGTTGTTAAGTTACATTAAGTTGGAATTCACATAACTATTTCATATCATGTAACATAGTTGATTATCATGTTCGTTATAATTGAAATTCTTAATATTCGAAAATATTTTCTTGAGATTATTTAATTGAAAAACAAAAAGAAGAAATTACAAGCTACAATGTTAATTATGATTAATATGTCATCTGGCAGGTGGGAGGGCTATCAACCAAGATAAACATTGAAATGAAGCAGCTTGTTGGCTCCTTCACTTTCTTTTCCAGCAGCAGTAGAGCTCACATTCACAGTCCTAATCGTCGCATAGCCATTTGCATTTTGATACTTCCCAGTACCACCAATGACTGCAACATGTGACTCGGCAACATCTGCACGGTGCACCCCAAAAAATCTCAAGGCATCCTTGTACTCACTTTCAGCATAAGTTGTTGTCATTGCCATCATATGACTACTTCCATCTTCTGAGCTTGCAACATACATCCCCTGTGCTTTCCCTAGTAACCGCGAGCCAAACACAGAACCCTCAAACAATTCCGAGTCAATTCCAGTTACTGTCCCAAACTCCAATTCTTGAAGAGTTGAGATAGCAGGAAAAGATATACTGATTCCCTGCAAATCAAGGGTTTGTGTTGAAAATCCGGATGCGGATACAGTAGGGTTAGGATCAGTCAGAGGGATGCCTCCATAGGGAGGGAAGAGGCCTAGTGGTTTGGAGAAGGGAAGAAGACTATTGACCTTTGTTGCTGCTGGTATCAGGGAGGGGTGAGACTCCCTAACCACATCTTGCATGTAGAAGGTGATTGGATGATGGACATGGTCGCGGCGGTGGTGGTGAGTTGGGGATGGATGATCACCAAGGGTTCTAGCTGAAAATGATTGATTGATGCTGGTGAAGAACAAGAGGAACCAGGCTATGGTTGGCATGGTAGAGAGCTTGGACACCTCCGTGAAGATATAAAATGCAAGTGGTTTTGTATACTAGTTTGTTCATTTATAGATATAATATATATTTGTGAGTATAGGGAAAATTATAAGTTTGGTTGAGGTGGGGTGGTTAATATTGTAGTAGTAGGTTGCTTGATATACCAAAAAAAAAAAAAATTTAAAAAATAAATAAAAGAAAGAAAAGAAAAGAAAAAAGAGGCATGAAACTAAGAACATTTGAACTGGTTACTATTGTTGGAACTTTAATTAGCTACCAATGGTCCACAACCTCTCTCTATAGATAGTAAGCATGTGGATTCACCTGATATGGAATGGCTTCTATTTTGGATGTTTGTGTGATCCTAGGACTCTGGGAGTACCAATGAATATTTCTATTTTTTTATTTAAGGATTAATAGTAATTTTTCTTTAATTATTTTATGGAGTACTATTTAATAACTTAAAATCATTGTAGCAATGATAATTGGACAGGCCAACATAACTCCATGGTGAAGCCATCAACAATCTAATTTTACAAAAAAAAAATGTAAAAAAACATTTTAAGATAATAGTGATTAGAATAAAAAAATAAACTAAAATACAAAAATTACATTGGAAGACATTATTGATTAGTTCAAGAATGAAGAAATAAGCAAATAAACTTAGCAAAAGTGTATGACAGGGTTTTGACAGAGTTTTAAGAGAGCTGTATCCGAGAAGATCTTGAAGTGGAGAGCGGGAATGGGCCACAAGCGGGTGTGTCCGTTTTCAAATCCTGTGTCTTTAGTTTCCCCAAAAAAAAAAAAATATATATATATATATATATATATAGAAGCAGGAAAAAAGCTAAAATTATAAATGATAATGGACTAAAAACTTTGGGCTTTGCCGCCCGGGCCCACTTTGCACACCCGCTCGAACTTTGAGATATATTATGGCCCAAATGCGGAACTCAATCCAGCCCAACCAAGTTTACAGCCCGACGTTTATATATTTTGTGACGAAAGGTCAACCTCCCCATTTTTTAGGGTTTCGAAGAGAGCAAAGAGCAGCCTTCGTTAGCTTTCCTTAGACACCGAAATGGGTAAGACACGAACTTTCGAATCTTCTGATTTTGGTGTCTTATGAGTTCTTGTTTCGAATGTAATATGTGTATATGATGCAATTGTTGATATCTGTTTGTTGTGTGATCTATGAATTGGATGCAACGAATGATGAATAGCGAGGATCAAGGTTCACGAGCTGAGAAACAAATCCAAAACTGAGTTGTTGAGCCAGTTGAAGGATCTCAAAGCCGAGCTCGCCCTTCTCCGGGTCGCCAAAGTCACCGGCGGTGCTCCTAACAAGCTCTCCAAGATGTACTCTTTCTCTCCCTCTCTCTCTCTATATATATATGAGTGTGTGTAGATCTCATTTAGCTGTGTCGAATTGATGTATATCGTTTTCTTGCTGTTTTTGTGCTCTTCGCTTTCAACCTTTATCTCCCTCTCAATATGTGTGTATACATGTATTCATATTGGTATGTCTTAGTTACTTGTTGATTCATCTAGAAATTTATGGGTGTTTATCTGCTATTAGTTCTCGGCTGACCCATATAGTTTGCGATAACTCTCATCCTGAGTTTTTAGTACCTTCATACAGAGATTTAGATTTGTGTTTATACATATACGTAAATGATATTATATATATATAAATGTTGTCTGATTATACCTGGTTTACCTTTTTGAGTTGATAATCAGTGATATTGGTGCCTATATTCTATTCATATGCTTCTGGGTTTCAACCTGCTTATGGGTTTGTTATCTGTTTCTCTATCTGGTATGTTTTGTGCTTATGTGATCGTGCATGATTTAGCTGTGTTGTTGGTTGTATCAAACACATCCTCGTTGGTTCATTGGTTTTGTGATGCTTTTTTATCTGTCTGTGGATCTCAAACTCTTTATGGTCTGTTTAGATAACCTTTGAGTTTTGTTTTTCCCTTGTATGACCTGGGTATGAATTTTTCGCTTGTTTGAATGCAGAAAAGTGGTGAGGTTGTCAATTGCACAGGTGTTGACTGTGATCTCACAGAAACAGAAGGCTGCTTTGAGGGAAGCTTACAAGAACAAGAAGTACTTGCCCCTTGATCTGCGTCCCAAGAAAACCAGGGCTATTCGCAGGCGTCTTACCAAGCATCAAGTATGATTTTATTTATGTGGTTCTTCTATTTTTGTTCCTGTTCATTGTATCCTTTTCTAGTTATGATTTATATTGTGTCTGGTTTCTTTTTCAAATTATGCTAACTAGTGTTGTTATTTGAAAGTTTCCGTGACATGGTCTCATAAATTCCAATTTCTAGGGCCACATTTTCACACATTGCAATATTATAAAAAGAATTTGAAATTCAATTTCTCTTTAAACAAATCGATAATTTTTTATATCAGAAAATTTCTCTTTGATTGTTGAAGAAAAGGTTGGTAAACATGCAAACTTAAATATGGAACTCGCCATCATTCGAAATCTGCCAAAACAGTGTTTTTTTCATTAATTCGCTTTGTGTGCATTTACAAGTCCTTTTTTCATAATAAGATTAGCTTTTAAAATTATCAAAAATTATTATTTTTTCCCAAAATTTCCTCGAGAACAAGAAAAATGTATATTTTTAACAACATTAGTTATGTATGTCCCTTTGGTAGCTTATGGAATATGAAATATTTTTATGCTAAAACAGTGGAAATAAATTAATTAAATAAATACTGATTAATTACACATGGTTTTGAAAATACTTCCAATTGAGTGTTGTTTTCAATAATGGTATTGGAATTTAAAAAAAAGAATATATAGAAATTTGGAAGTGTGGACGGGAAATTTATATCTATAGTTTATGTGATGAAAGTGGAGATAAATTTTTTCTATAAAATTACTCAGGTTGCTATGTTGAAAAGATATCTGAAACTATTGTGATCCTTGTTCTTTTTAACACTTTGCAGTAGTGCATTTTTTTAAGATCAATGAGCCTTTAAGGGCTTCTGCTGGTTACAAGTATGGTGTTACCATATGCCAGTGAGTTGTTCGATATTAGATCTCATCTCTCCCTCAATTAGTCCCTTATGTTATGCATAACTTGAGGCTAACTCGAATTATCAATTGTCATTGTTTCCTGCTGTTGCTGATGGTACTTCATAGTCCCAGTCAGTTTGCTGATATTTAGTTCAATGGTGCTTTAAGTTTGCGAGACCTAAACATTGGGTTTCTGCTAGTGTCTTATGTATGTTAAGTAAACATTTACAAAGAATTAGCAATGCCACTTCTTTCTTCTCCTTTTTAACCCTATGAGGTTTTTAATTCTATTTTGCACTGGTTGTCTTGGTTTTTTGTCTTTAAGATGTAGTATGGAATTTTTCCTAAACTTCACGTCGCATTGCATGTTGTAATTGGAAAATGGCTGTAGTTTGAACCTGCAGCTAGTTGGTGCTTATGCCTGTAAATATGATTTTTAAGGTGCTTTGTTTAGGTGTGGATTCTTTCTAAATTTGTGTTGTTGCTTTGTTTGTGCAGTTGTCTCTGAAAACTGAGCGGGAGAAGAAGAAAGAGATGTACTTCCCAATGAGGAAATATGCTATTAAAGTGTAGGGTAGGATCTATTATGGAGGGTCTTTTGGTACTGTCCGCAAAACTCACTCCATTGATGAATCTGGAGTTCTGTTTACATTTACTATTATTCTGATGGACCTCGAATTTTGAGTGTTTTTCTTTGATTTTTGTTGCTAGTGAAACTTCAGAGGAAGCATCACCTTTTTTATTTCCTAGAATGAAATGTTCTTTTATAGATTTCTATTCTGGATGTCACTACTAATATTCTGATGAATTGAAGTTAATTGACACTTTTGGAAAATTCATTAACGCTTCTGTTGGACTAGCAGTTAGTTTCTGTTGTGGCATGCCGGCCTGACATGCCCGAAAATACCTCAGGACTGGAGAACGGGGTATGGTACCTCGGGATATTGTAGAACTTTTCAGCCTCCGACCCCACTTACATACTTCCTCGTATGTATCATCATTTGCTCGTGCCAAAATCGTTATACCTACTGAGAGTGATATCAAAACGCACATCTGAATGAGTTTAACATGAAAATGCATACCTGAATGAGTTGCGTTCGTAATGGATGGACTTAAAAAATGTTATCTTCATTCATGTATTTGAATCTGATGTGTGTAAACTGTAAAGATTATTGCAACTCGTTTTGCATGCACAATTATGTCGTTCAATATGGGTAAAGTTTGGACACAAAATCAAAGGCAAATTTCATGAAACTCCTAATACTATCACTTTTTGTATCAAATACTCTCAACTTATCTTATTAAACCCTTACACACTATGAAAATTGATCACATTGCACCATGCTTTTGATATACCAAATCAATTAAAAAAGTCAAAATATGTATTTTGTCAAAGTACAAAACGACTGCGTTTTGTGTGTTGATGTGGGCCAGGGAGGTGAAGGAGAGGTGGGCCAGGGAGGTGAAGGAGAGGAGCCGAGATCGCTGCGCCGACGGTGAGGACGTCGTGATCAAAGGATTTCCGGCAGCGGTAATCAGAGATGACGGGTTGGGCAATGCACATGGGTCTAAGCAGTAACTTGAGATACCAAACGTTGAATGGAATCGAGTTTTTGCTTGCCAAGGGGCTTCCACCTGTAGTATTTAAAACCTCGGTCATCATATTGAGAATGTTGAATAATGTTCTTGGAGGGATGTCATTTGTAATCTTGGCAAGATTAACAGGAGCTCAGAGCGTTGACGGCGGGAAAACAGTTATAGCTGAAGAAGGATTAGTTGCAGAGAAGGAGAAGTTAGTAAACGAGAATGAGGATTCGCAGAGCAATCTTTCTTCTTCAAAGTGATTTGGTTCATCTCATTGGCTGTCATTAAATATGTGTTTTTCTTTTCTCTGAATAAATCAGACTTGGTGGTCATTGTATGCAAAATGATGATCTAACTTCATGGCGTCCTAGTTGGTAAATCCAGCTGATTTGTAAAGTGATATGCTACTGTTGAGGAGTCTGAGTTGTTAATAACTTTCCGGTTCTGTCCACAATTAACACATATAAACTGGGCTGTTAATCGAGATTTGGTAATTAACAGCCTTAATCATTGACGGGCAGACACTTAAAGAATGTAGGGTTTCTTTTGGGTGATTGGCTGGCTCTTCCATTGTTTGCATTGTCTGCTAATTGTGATGGTTATGAGTTGAATTTGCAAATTTTATTACAAGCAATTAATTTTGAATCTTTTTTATTCTCAAGTAGTGTTTCTTTCTCCCTAATCATTTATAGTTAATATGTTTGCTGCAGTAAATATTGAAGTTATATCTTACATGATTTTTCATTTATTTTACACAGTTACATTTCTGCATATATATATATTTTTTCGAAGATGGGTTTCAGTTCCGAAGCTTGGAGTACCACTCCACAGGGTTTAGCATTGTTGATTTTGGTGGTGGGTGCAACGCGATCAACAACAAGGACGGCTTGCGGCCATCCGATATGTGGAGTTGTCAATAGTTGGAGATGGAGATGAGGGCCATCAAGAGGAGGCAAAGCCGCCGCCTTCCGGCGCAGATTTATGTCTAGAGAGAAATCTCCGATCAATTACAGGCAACCAAAGCCGATGCTAAACAAACCAACAATGATTGATCCCACGTCGAGTATGTTGAAAGTAACGCTGTCTGGTGTATGAGGTAGAGTTGCAGGTTCTTTATTGAGGAAGGGCCTCTCGTAGCCGAAGACGACTCAAGAGGCGGTCGTTTGGTGCTTTGGTGACTTAAATGTCATCAAGGGTATTTTAGTAATTGGTAAAATACTTATTTTGGCTTTTCTGATTTGGTATATCAGAAGGGTAGTTTTGTCCTTTTATCACAGACATGGTGTAATGTAATCAATTTTTATAGCCGGAGATTTAATAAAGTAGATTAAGGGTATTTGATACAAAAAAAAATACTAGTATTGAAAATTTCGTAAAATTTGTCCCAAAATCAAAGAATATCCTTCTTTATGTACCATACTGACTTCCAAGGTCTAAAGTGAATAAAATAAGAAAAAATGTACATGATTCGACTGCATATATCTACTAGGTCACATGTCATTATTCGGGGAGAATTTTGAGGTCTAAGCGAAGACAAGTCAGAAGCTTTTCTATCATGTTAAAAAAAAAAAAAAAAAAATGGTGAAAAAGTTTCAATGATGTTTTTGGAGAACAGTTTTCAAAAGGCTACTTAATTTTGTATTCTGAAAATTTTAGTGATGTCTGCTTATAAAAACTGTTATTTTGAAAATTATTTTTTAAAAACTTAGTTAAAAAAATAATATGTTTTTAGAGAACTGGGCATGCTTGATTTATAATTTTAAAAATAATTTTTAAGAATTTAAAAAACAGAACACTGTTATCATATAATAATCTTTTATGATTCTCTGTAAATAGTTTTCAGAAAACAGTTTTTAAAAAATTAAATCAAGTAGAATTTTTTTTTTTTACAATTTTTCAATTTCAATTAGTTTTCATAGTTAAAAACCAATAAAGCAAACCTATCTCAATTTGTTGCAAATATATATGTAAGTAATTTATTAATTATTTTTAAAAAATTTATCTTATGATTAACGTTTTTATATTTGTAATTTTATCCATTTGGGAATGGTGCTAGACTGCTAGCGGACCCATGTTTGGGACTCAAATGATTGTTTGTAATTTTGGTTTTTATGTCATGACTCATAGAATTAATTAATATTTGTTTTATACTTATACACCCCACTTTCTAGAATGAGAATAAATAGAATATTTGTGAACTTGTGTAAAACACAAAAAGCATAAGGGCACAATTGCAAAAAAATTCAACCGAATGGGTAATATTCTGCGCCAAACAAACATCAGACACTTCTCTGCAGTTTCCTTTGTTGTCCTTTGTCAAGTCATCTTCCTTCTACGTGCCTTCCCTCGCTCCACTTTTCTACAAACCCAAAGACTTCCATAAGTCTCAGGGTCTCTCAATCTCTCCTCAAAATTCATTTTCTAGGGTTTGCCGTTTGTCTCTTTCTGCTCAAACATGGCTTCAGCTACGGAAGAAGGCACTCTCTCTCTCTCTCTCACACACACACACACTCATTCACTCTTAAGAGTCTCCACTGTTTTGATAGATTCTTCAATTTCATATATGTTATTTACATTTGATACTTAGTTCCATTTATTTTCTGGGAAAATATTTTCATGGAAATTTTCTGCTAGAAAGACTTGTTGTATAGGGACTATATTTCTCAATGCTTATAAAATTTGCTCTCTTTCTCACACACACCAAGTGTCTCCACTGTTTTGGTTGTTTCCTTCAATTTAGTATCTGCTCTTTACATCCTGTACTTGGTTCCATTTATTTTCTTGGAAATTTTCTGCTAGAAACGACTTGGTGTATAGGGATTATGTTTCTCCTTGCTTAAGTGTTAATAAATTTTGTTCTACACCTGATATAGAAAAAACAAAATCATTGGAAAATTTTCTGTGATATTGTTTTCTGTTAAAACAATCAAACAAACAAGGGAAAGCAACTTTTAGCTTTGGAATCGAGCAGTTTCATCTGTTATTTACATCCAGTAATTTGTTTCAGTACTGAGGTTCTGTTTACTTTCTTGGAAAAATGCTTTTAAGAAAAAAATTCCCGAGAAAGGAATTAAATTAGGGTCTATGTAATTCTCATTGGAAAATTGACAGAATTTTTTTTTGCTTTTTTCTGTTGAAACAAATGGAATTTGTTTTAGCTGGGAATGTTAATTCGTGATTTATGATTCTGCAGGAGGAGAAAGAGATTTGGAGAAGGGATTGATGACTCCCAGACTGAGCCAAAACCCTCTTGCCGAGGCATCGCCATCGCCATCGCCATCTCCATCTCCATCCCCATCATCCGCGACTGCACCTGCTCTGGTATTATCGAATTCCGGCAAGCGGATTGATCAAGCCGGAAAGAAGAAGTATGTGAAGCAAGTGACTGGCCGGCACAATGACACCGCCCTGCATTTGGCAGTGCAGCGAGGTGATCTAGCAGCAGTGAAGCAGATTCTTGATGATATTGATTCAAAAATGTTGAGGACTCTGAGTGGAGCGGACTTTGATGTTGAGGTTGCAGAGATTCGAGCATCACTTGTCAATGAGGTGAATGAATTGGGAGAGACACCAATGTTCATTGCAGCAGAGAAGGGTCATCTTGATATTGTGAAAGAGTTGTTTAAGTATTCAAGTAAGGAAAGTATCTCAAAAAAGAATGGGGGTGAAATGGATCCTTTGCATATAGCTGCAAGTCAAGGACACCATGGTGATAATCTTAACTTTGTTCAGTTATTCGTTCCACTGTTTTAATCCTGCTTATTTTGGAATAATTTTCTCATAGTCATTGGCTGGTTTTATACATGTGTGGCTCTTTTAGGTGCATTTATGTTTAAAAACTCTGTTTATAATAAGAAAATGAAGCATTGGGTTTTCTGCTCGGAATAGGGTCTCCTTAGCATCAGTTTGTACATTTAATGGAGGAGAGGATGAGCGGATTTTAAAGTAGTCTTGGCGGGGGTTTCGAGGTTAAAGGATTCCAACCTCCACCCCCACCCCCCAACCACCAAAAAAACAATCCATTAACCTACTCATCCAACTAAAAGGCGGAAAAGAACACATATGTTACCATGTTGGCAATTATTTATGGTTGCACTAGATTGGTTAATCTTATTTGTTCAATCATTCAATGTTCATGTTTAGCCAGTATGTTTTGTTTGTTTTCCACAGACCGTTGTTCTTTTCTTTTTTTTTATGGCATAAATTTTGTCGGATCCGACTGGAGAAAACCCAAAGGGGATTCCCCCGCCTTCCCAATAATTATTAGTTATGAACTGGTTAGCAATACCTGAAAATAAAGTGGCCTTGCTAATGAAACCATATCTTAAATAAAATTCAGCAAAATATTTGTGTTTGATTGGCCTAACCAATGTAAATTCCAAGCAGCTTAGCAACTTGGTTTCCGGTAAGTTGCTTCTAATTGTTGTTTTGGGAATAATCGAGGGCTTGTATGATCACCAGTCCAAAACTGTAATAAACGTTTCCGTCTTTCCCATGTTTCTGCGAAGCTGCAAATCATGAGAGGTCATATTCTATCTTAGCTCAGTTTTGATCAAACATGAAAATTGGCTAACTGGCTTACTTGAAGCTGCAAGCCGAGAGTATATCTCACCACATCTAAGGATTACAGGATCTAGAGAGTGCTGCCCTAATAACATCATTATGTAGCAGCTCAACAAGATCAGCAAGAGGGCTCAGATAAACAGTCAAATCCCTTCAATATGTCTGTCGATTAATTTTCTTTGAAAGCTCATACTATTCTCCGTCAAGATTACTACCTTGGCCCTGTCTATCGTCTGTATAATGAAGTTCGTCATTTATTGACTAAATTTTCGGGATTTGTCTTTCTTAGAATTAAAAGAAAAATATTGATGACTATTCAATTCGCCTATACCTTTGAGATTAAAAATAAATAAATAAATAAATAAAGATTTTCTCGTGAAATGTTCATTATTATCAGCATCTGTTGTAGCAAGCAGTTGCACTGAATCATTGATGACAGAATATCCTTCTGCAACAACCTCACCACATTGGCATCTCAACTGCAACTAGTTCCTCTTCCAAATACAATTTTATTGATTTTGCCCCTGATTTTATTTGAAATGAGATCCTGATGTGTAATGCTTTTGCATCATTCAAAGAGAGTCTATTTCTGCAGAAAATATGTTAGAAGTTTGGTCATGGTGTTCAAAATTCTCTTTTGGAGCTTAGTTATTTAATCATGCACTTTGTAATGCAAAAAGTTATATTCCAAAGTGCTAATATTTCTTCAACTTCCTATGTTAATCTTCTGCATGACCAAATATGTAGATATCACAAGGCTTTATTCACTGAAAGATGTTTCTGCCCTATGTTGAATATTTTCTGTACAAAACCAGGCCAGTACATTTATTTGGTTCGTTTGTTGCAGACATTGTTAAGGTGCTATTAGATTATGACCCAGGGCTCAGTAACACAATTGGACCATCAAATGCGACCCCTCTTATATCCGCAGCTTCCAAAGGGCATGTATCTGTGGTTAATGAGCTGCTGTCTAAGGATTGTAACTTGTTGGAGATTTCTAGATCCAATGGGAAAAACGCTTTGCATTTAGCTGCCAGACGGGGACATGTAGACATTGTGAAGGCGTTGCTAGACAAAGATCCACAATTGGCAAGAAGGAATGATAAGAAAGGACAGACTGCACTGCATATGGCTGTAAAAGGGGTTAGCTGTGAAGTGGTGAAATTGCTTCTTGAGGCTGATCCAGCTATTGTCATGCTGCCAGACAAAAATGGTAGCACAGCATTACATGTAGCCACCAGGAAAAAGCGAGCAGAGGTATATTTCGGTGCTACTGAATTTTCATGCTTTAATTATGTATTTTTTCAAAGTTCAAGAGTCTAATTTCTCCGTACTAAACAACTAGTGATATAAATTTATTTATTTCTTTTTAATGAATTACTAGTTTTTCCGTCTTCCTGTGGTGTGGGGTTTCTTTTTATTTTTAAACTGGATAAGTATATTTTTCACCATTTATTCCAAACAGGAGGTTTGAAAAGAGCTTAAAGTAGTTATATCTAATTTTTCTGAAAGACGTGAATTTATGGCTTCCATATACCAAATTGTCATCGTTTGTCTCTAAGCTTCATTTTCCATGACTGAATTTCAGTACACTATTTTCTACACAATCTTGATAGTTAATTAACAAGAAATTCATATCAACCAGCATAGGTGCTGTATAAAGTTGACTTAAACTTGCCAAAGAGAAAAGGTAGGTTTCCTGTGTTCAGTCAGTCTCTCTGCTCCCCTCAATTCTCGTAGGTTAATTCTTCAAGTGATCCCACCTGATTGTCCTTTATTCCCTTTTCACAAGTTTTCATAGACTAAGAATCTAGATTGAACTTTTTAAACACACACTCCAAATATAAAAATTACATTACCAAGTATTGATTTATTTTTACCTTTTCCCTTGCAGATAGTGAATGAGTTGTTACGACTCCCTGACACCAATGTTAATGCGCCTAACAGAGATCACAAGACAGCTCTTGATATAGCTGAAGAGCTTCCCTACTCTGAAGAATCCTCAGGTATAAAAGACTGCCTTTATCGCTTTGGTGCTGTCAGAGCTAATGACCTTAACCAACCAAGGGATGAATTGAGGAATACTGTGACCCAAATCAAGAAAGATGTCCACATCCAGCTTGAGCAAACCAAGAGGACAAACAAGAATGTTTATGGAATTGCCAAAGAGCTGAGGAAACTCCACCGAGAAGGGATCAACAATGCTACCAACTCGGTGACTGTGGTGGCTGTGCTTTTTGCAACAGTTGCCTTTGCAGCTATTTTCACTGTGCCTGGTGGGGATCTTGATAATGGGATGGCTGTGGTGGTGAGCCATACTTCTTTCAAAATCTTTTTCATCTTTAATGCCATTGCATTGTTTACATCCTTGGCTGTTGTTGTAGTTCAGATTACATTAGTTAGAGGTGAAACAAAAGCTGAAACACTGGTAGTTGGAGTGATTAACAAGTTAATGTGGTTGGCCTCTGTGTGCACGTCGGTGTCATTTATAGCCTCCTCTTATATAGTGGTTGGTCGGCGGCACAAGTGGGCTGCAATTTTGGTTACAGTTGTGGGGGCAGTGATAATGGCTGGGGTTCTTGGCACCATGACTTATTATGTGGTGAAGTCAAAGAGGACACGATTGAGAAGGAAGAGGGTGAGGCATGCAAGGAGTGGATCCACCTCGTGGCATCACTCCGAGTCCAACTCAGAAGTCGACCGGATTTATGCCCTTTGATGTGATAATTCCTAGCCTTCAGTTTCAGATTTCTGGGTTGCGGATTGAATGGAACGATGGGTGTGTAATAAGACTGAAGGTATTTAGGTGCACTTAAAGACCCCTACATTTGTTAAGAAACAACAATGCTTCCATAGCGGTAGCATCTTATGCCTTGGTTTATTTTATGAATCCCTGCAGTTGGATGACTATTGTAAGTTAGATGTTAGGTCTGTTGCTGAAGGAAAAAAGGGGGGAGGAACACTGGTTTCTTTCCTGTTGTTTAATGCTGCATGTATAGAATCATAAGACCTGAAAGTGGGTTGGAAAGAGATAAGAGAGGGTCAGAAAGTTCCAGATTCTGTGGAAGGCGTTGAAGATTCTTGTGTTCAGTTTGTGCAATTTGTGGGTAAGTTAATATATCAGAGCCAAATTTGGAAGAAAACATAAATAACACAAGCAAGAGACTTCACTGGATGGTTATATGAAGCTATGCCCGGAAGTGGATATTTCAGCATTGTGAAGAATTCTACTTGCTCAAAGGTTTCAAGTCTTCTCAAGTGATACTCATAGCTCGCAGAGGGACTCTGTCTGGTAGTATTAAAATTTTCTCAATGTTCAATATCATCAAGTCCAATACCACAACTGCAAATGGTGGTGTAGATTAAGCCTAATTGATGGTTGTACTTTAGTTATATAGAGATCTCCTGGACCATTATATTTATCAAGTATATATGAAATGTGCTCTTCAAAATTATCTGCTATGGCCTTGATGAAACTTTGTGCACTCTCACTGGAGGCTTAACTTGGTAGATCTGATAGTGGGAGACTGCTAGTATATGTTTTTGAGTGGAAAGGTAAAAAGATGCATTTCTACTGGTAACTGCTTTAGTTGCCTGAAGTAATCTAAGAGCTATTTACATCTTTCTTGATTTTAAATATGAAAAAGATTGAGATTTGATGAAATCGTGGTTCAAATCTTCAATTTTCTTTGAATAGTTAATAACCTAAATATTGTTAAACCTTGAAGTAATAGAGTGACCTAGGGAACTAAAAATCTTTATGATATTTTGCTAGACAATTGGGAATTCTGATTTTGAAATTAATGTCTTGGAGCAATTACTATTGCAAGAGAGCGAGACTTCTTCATATAGGGGATTTGGGACCTCAGCCCACCTGCTGCTTGAGGGTTTAGGGCAGTCTCCGACAACAGTCCGCTAGCTGTATAGCGGGCTGCCAGTCAAGGGAAATGCACCCCTTGCTGGGCATTAGACTTCTCTTTCACTCCAAAATTGACCTTAAGCACAATTCTAGTTCTCTCTTTTTCACACACCCAAGAAGCGGTGAAAACATATTTTCTCCTTTTTTTCAGAAGATACTTTTTGACAACAGTCTGCACAGTGCTTTGAGGGGAAAATATTATAACCTCTTTTGCTTTCTAGGTTTATTGATTCTTAGGCATATGTGGAAAAATAATCTAGGGTATTGTTGTATTATTATTGCTTGTATAATTGTTGCATGTATTGGTTGAGTTAGCTGCACTTTCTTTTTTTTTTTTTGGGTGGAGGAGGTGTCCCCAACTGTAGGTGAGAATAATCTTTCTTTTCACTGTTTGGCTGAGCTAATAAGGAGAGAGAGAAGAAAAATGGAGATTTATATGTCCTTCTGAAGTTTTATGAATGTAAACAAATTCTGAACCTCCATATTAAGGAATTTTTTTTCTTTTCCTTCACGTCCATAACTATTTTTCTTTTTTTGGGTAAGGTCATGACTATTATTCTTGTGATCATCATGTTTTTTAATTGTTAATGAATCATCATAACAGGTTATAAAGAGAAACTGTGTGGGGTTTTCCCGTATGTCCAGAAATAAAGGAAAGGTTATATTTAGCAGAGCTTGATCCCCCATAACAGTATTTTGCTATTTGAACTTTCTAAAGACATCTATATACTGAAAACCAAAATACTAGGTTCAATTTGGCCATGAACACCTTTTCCGACAGGAAATGTTCTAGTATTCTTTTACACTAACAGAAGGTGCCTGAAGCCATTGCCATTTAATTAGGGACTTAAGTACTGCAGACTCTTTCCTCCACCTAAAATGGCAAAACCTGACACTCCAACTAAGGTCGAACATCTCACCTAATGAGGTTGCAATCTGCAGTCCACTTACATTAACTAAATGCATCTGCAAGGAAATAAGATGGAAACTATGTTGTCATCCTGGAATGGTTCACTGGCTCCATTTCTTTATTGGTAGCAGATATACTGCACTTCTTTTTTTGTTTTACTTAGGTACATTAACATATTTCCTATGTTAAACCCAGGTGGGAAGATGCTTGCTATCGTTGTTTCTTCGGAGTGTTTATGTATATATAAATGTCATCTTAGTAATAAAGATGAAGAATGGCAAAGCCATTTTGTGCTCTAGATTCTGTTGTTTTGTTGACATTTTATTTTGCTGCAAGCAAATAAAAATTAAAAACACTATCATATGATAATCATGTAAAATAAAGTATTGTTCAGCTATGTTACATGCACTCGGGTACGTGTGTCGGGTGTGAGTATGTATCCATGCGTTGCACATGTCAAGTCCTCAGACAAAGGACACATGGACATTGCTAAATATTCATATTATTTAATGTTTTTATTTTATTTCGAGAGTAAAATCATGTCTTTAGGTAACATAGTGTTTAATATAGGCATTTCACTCGTTATGAAGCAATAATATAATAAATTGAATTACTGAATATGTCTTTCAGATGCATGTCCAACCAAAAGGGTCGGACACATATCCCATACCCATGTCCAAGTATTGTGTATCCCACACGGTACTTCACTTACCTTAGGAAAGTCCATATTTGTTCACTAGCTTAGCACCATTATGCCTGAAAATTGATATTTGCAATTATGAGTAGAATGACTTGAAGTACTTGAAGTTTATAATTTACCTTATTATGTAATCTTTCACAGGCCTGACAGGTTGATAACTCACCCATTTACATTTTAATGCACTTCTGTTCATGGCCATTTTAAATTGGAACAACAGGAGGAGGACAGATTGATATAATAACAGATGGTTTAAAAATCTAGCAGATAAGTGAAGCCTGCTTTTTCCTTCTTTCATTCTCTAGACAATTATTGATGTTGGGTGGGGAAAAGGGTTTCTTGTTATATGCTTGTCAGTACCCCATAGTGCTTGGCATAATCAAAATTAGTTATTTACTGCTTTCTCTGTGTATCTAATCTTGTCAAATATCTGGCTGACATGTTTACTTGGTTTAAGGTTCATTGCACCCACTTGAAAGTCAAAAGGTGAAAAAAATGAACTTTCTGAAAGGCTGTTTGTCTGCATGAACATATTTGATGCATGCAGGTCGGATGCTGTTTGGAGGTAGACAGGTGGGTTTTTTGGCATAAAAGTCATGATTGTTTCTATTTTCAATTGATTAGAAGGAACTTACTAATGATATTTATCTTTGCCTAACCTGTAGTACTTTGAAACTATTTTATTGTTCAGTTCTTAACCATGTCAATTCATATATTACTACACTTTACAGTAAGTAATGAATATTATTATTAGTCTGTGATGGTTTGAATATTGGCCTTGGGTTGTCTGCAATCAATTTTTATTTTTAATCAAAGTTAAGTGGATGTTCTTGAGACTTTAGGAGGCATCTTTGGATTTGGGATATTACAGTGTTTCAGGGTTGTAGGTCCTTAGTTTGGAGGTAAATACATGCTCTCACTCACACATCAGAGCTAAACTGTAGTGAATCATTAGTTGAAGATATTATGAATTTCCTTTCCTGTTTGGTGGCTGAGATAAAGAAATAGGAAAATAAAATAATTTAAGCTTTACATCTTAAAATTTTTATCATGAAGGGGTGGGACAGCTGCCCCCCACCCCCCAAAATAACAAAGAAAACATGAAAAATAAATGAGAATTTAAAAGGAAAATCTTCAACAACCACTTAGATTGGCTGAGATGAGTTGTTATACTTCAGAAACCTGTAAAAACAAAAATAAAAAACAGACAGAAGATCACTCCCATACGATTGCATTGCTTAGTTTTAACAGTCTCAATCTGTCTTATGTTATCCTTTGGTTTGAACAGTGTAATAAATTCTATAGTCAAACTGAATTTATTTCAGCAAATTGAAGATTTTCCTGAAATGATTGGCATGATATAGGAAGGATTATAAATTTTGTTTTCACTTGGTCTTTATTTGCTTGTTTTTCTCTTAATCAAGCACTTTATTTTCTTGAAACTGCAGAGACTAAATAGTCCAAATGTCATTGAAAATCAAAATTAATGAAGTGAGATTTTATCAGCTCATTGAAGTTTCAATTAAATCTGTCAAGTACAAGAAATTTTGTACTACGAGGTTAATTTTCTTTTGCATAATACCCAAAGTAGCTTTCTGAATAAATGACACTATTCTTTTCTGTCATCAGGAAATTGGAAACAACTACTGACCATTAGGTAGACAAAACATAAAAATCATTAATCAACAGAAATTGTAGAGTTCTTCCTGAATTGTACTTTGAAATTTATTTTGAGAATAACTTTCATGTTGTACTTGCTACTAATTTTGTTTAAGAAATGGAAACTTCTATCAGTATTTTCACAAACTTCCACAAGATGGTGTGTTTTAACAATACACAACAGCCGTACAAAACTCTTAATATTGCACTGAAATGATGACCAGTTCATAAAATCATGAAATTGAAGAAGGAGCGCATTATAAACCAATCAAAATTTGTTCTTCAACCCCTGCAAAGTCCCGGTCTTTCTTGATCCTCGCAGACTATTTTCGAAGCTGACAATGAGTAAAACCCGACTTCACTTGCTGTCTTTCTCAAGTGTGGCTGCTGCTGAGACCTTTTGCAATGAGCAATCGCTCCCTGAATTGAATTTTCGATATCTGACTTCACACTGCCGCTTCTCTTGAAAAACTGCAACTCATGAAACTCATTTGAATTACTCGAGCTTGAAGATGAAGAAGATCCAGATGAAGATGAAGACGACGAAGACTTGACTGTTGAAAGCCGTTTGATTGCCCCAGAGAACGACCTCCTATGGCGACCCCTGCCATCTGCAGCAATCTGCTCTTTGTTGAAGCTCCTTGTGACAGTAATTGGCATTTGGTATGTGTCTTTCTGAATTTGCCCAAATGGAGCCTTCTTTGTCATATTCATATCCTTGTTTAGAAACTCCTTGGTATTTAAGACTGATTCTTCGTCTAAATTTCTCGCAGCTGATGTGCAGGACTCGTCTGAGCAACCAGATTTACTGAAAAAGGACTTAAAATAAGCTCCGGAAGCCTTAAGCTTTGAACCAAGCGAAGACTTCTTGATCAGCTTAAGCTTTCTGGTCCAAGACTTTTTCGGGTTGTCACCAATGAAACCACTTGCTTCAGTTGAATACTCGAATAAATACTCATATGGATTCAGTTCTCTGCTAACCTGGCAGGATTCAGAAGGTGAGATATTGCAGGATTCAAATGGGGTATTGTTTGTAGGTGTGTTGGTGGTAGTTGTGGTTAATGGAGTACTGAAAAATTCCTCAAAGTCATCTTTTTTGTGGTCATAAGAGGTGGAAGCCTGTAGGAGTTTTTCGACCATTTGTAAACGGGGTGGGAGGTGTAGAGGAAGGAGCTTTCCTTTGTAGAAAAGCTCATCAGCTGGAGAAGTTGTGGTTTCTCTCTCTGAAGAGCTTGAGAACATTTGGAACTCGAATTCTCGAGGGTGTGGAGGGGAACTCATGGACTGACAGTAGAATTGGGAGTATGAACTAATTTCCATGTCTATGTAGTCCTCATCTACATGGTCACTTGAAGAAAGGTTTACAGCCATCTGTGTGTTTGTGTGTTTCTCTCTCTCTCTGTGTCTCCTCAGGTTCTTATGGTTGGGGAAGCTGGGCTTTGTGAAGGGGGAGGAGGGATAGAGCATCCTTTAAAAGTGTTGGCAATGCAAAAAAGTTATTGGAATTGGGAATTATTAGAATTTTGGAATTTCTTGAATGCTTCCAAATATAAAATTGAGAACGTTATGGTGGAGTTTTTGGTAATGGCCCAACATTGTCCCATGCCTTTTTTATCTCTTTCCTGAATCAAAAATCTGTAGCTCATTTTTTATTTTTTTATTTTTGAACCTTTGAAAAAAAAAAACTATTACACATTTAAAAGGACTCATTTTATGGATTCTGCAGTAACCATTTCTCTTTTGTGGTTCAGGTTCCTTAGAAAGCACTTTAGGAGAAATCATCATGACTAACAAGTTTTCTATTTGGTGGGCCAATATGCTGATTCAGTGTTCTTGTTCGCACAAAGAAAAAGGTAATATTTTTATTGGTATGACCTTATTACATAATCTATTTTGATTGATCAAGGAATCAATTCTGGTTTAAAGTATTGTTATCAGTAAAGTGTGGTCTCCATTCTGATTAGAACTGCACTTACTCTAAAAATTCTGAGACTTGTTGGAAATCACAGGTTGGATTGGTCCTACCATGACCGCATGAGAGTCTTGGTTTCAGGTCATTCAGGGTTTGTTGAGTTGAGGTGTGCAAGAATAGGGAAAAACATTCTGATTTTCATTAATTTATAACAAGAGTGCTGCTATTCATTGTGGGAGTCACGGTAACCGACTACTCACACGGGACTGTGCAGGTGAGAGTCAATGTAACCAGGGCTCATGTAAGTAGTCAGTTACCCTGGCTGTCGCAACAAATATAATTATTCTTATAACAAGTATATGAAAATGCCCATATTTATTTATTTATTTGTGAATTGAAACACAAGTTATTTAGATTAAGAAAAAATAAAATAAAATATTTTATATGGGTGATTGTAGTGGAGGTTTAAGAGCTTGAAACCCCACTTCCTTCTGATAGCATTTGCTATATTTTTTACTAAAATAAATAGCAGCATGCATATAGAGAACATCAAAATATTGTTATTAATTAATGTGACATACATACACCAATCTATGCCCCTGTTGTCTCTATTTGAATTTGAAACCATCCCAGTTCTCAAAACCAGGTTTTCTGCACTCTTAACAATATAATAATTACTCTCTCTCTCTCTCTCTCCAATTAACTTATACACTAAACTCAAAAGAAGCCACTATTTGAAATAGAAAAATAGAATAAAATTTAAGAAGAACTAGAGATTAGTTTTATACTTTACCAACTTATGCTGCTTTTACTGGATTCCTGGGTTTGTTTTTCACTTTCTTTATCTTACTTTATAAAAATTCTCCTCGATTTTTTCCAATGGGTTCTCTTCATATAAACTGATCAATACCTTTGCATCTTTATAAAAGTTAATAAAATATACATCTAATCAAAATCTATTTGTGTTTTATGTGTGTGGACTGTAGAGTGAGAGAGAGGGAAAGAGAGAGAGGGGGATGGTTGTTGACCTCACACTAAGAACCAAGCACATGATCCGACATTTTATGGTGGGAAAGGGATAAGAATGGAAGAGATGCCTGCAAGCTCCAGAATTTTGTTTGTCATTTCTTTTTTATAGTTCCCGTGTTTAATTTCCGCTTTTTATGGAGGTTTGTAGCCTAATGGTATTTTCTAACTTTTCACTTTATAGAGTAGAAAGTTGTGAGGTTAACTTGTGTAGGGGCTAATTCAGGAGTAAATATTTGTTGTGCCCGGTGCACCGGGCACATCACAATCGTCCGTGCAACACACCCGCGGACATCAACGGTTGTGATGTGCCCGGTGCACGTGCACCAGGCACAACGAATATTTACTCCAAATTCAAGGTGTAAGTTAACTAGGATCTTCTTTTGTGTCATTTTTGTACTGTGCTTAATGCAACAACTTTAAATCGACAATACAACAATTACATAAATGTGTTAAATTCTCGATTTAATAATATTATAATATTGCAGCACGATGTAATTTGTTGTTGCATGGGTATTGCATCTTTGATATAAATATGTTGAAGTTATTGCATAGGTGTTATATTTTGTAATGTAGTTATATTGTATTGTGAAATAGTTGTTACCCACGAGGAAGTTTATAATATCCCCAGTACCTAGATGTGGTACCTCCGGCCGGTGGAGAGTCATAGAAACTCTCCATCTTCTTTGATAATAGTGAAATGGGGAGTTTTCAAGAGAAATAATGAACGTTTATTAGCCAGGAGATAGACAAAGATCATGAATTTTTTGCTGCCAATGTGAAGAAGGAAAAAAAATAAATAAAAGAACACAAGTGACAAGGGAAAGTTTACCTACCAAAAAATAAGAGAAGTTCAGGTGGATGCCCTATTACAGAAGTCCAAACAAGTCGTTATACTTGATACTAAAATACAAGGAACACATTATTAACCTAATAATATGAGAACTTGTAAGCCAAGTTCAAGGTATCTTCATTTGTGTTCTTTGGGTGCATACTGCCAGCCATAACAATCCAAGAAAATTGCTGAAAAATTCAACATCAAAAAGCAGGTTGATAATCAACAAGCTCTCCACTTCACTCATTAAATTATCTTAAATTTCTCAATTTCAAGTTTTAGTTGCTAGAAATGATGTATGTCTTTGTTATATAAGGTTGTACTATATGAAACTGTGATTCGATTGGGATGTTTGGTCAAATGAGAATATCACTGACAAAAACATACGATATTGATTCATTCGGAGTCGTGTTGTTGGCAAATCTAAACTGCCAGATAGAAAGAACAATTCATTTTTCTTCTGAGAAGTATTGATACGACACCACAAAATCATACAACAAATTTTAGAAGAATAGAATACGTAATGTAACAAGATAGATATTCTTTTTGTTTTCTAAAATTTTATATTATTTTTCCAATTAACTCATTATATATATTTTAAGATTATACTAAAACTTCGTGTTTAAAATAATAATTGTAAAACTACTATCACGTCATGCTCTGAAAGTATTTCGAACGTGTTCTTACTTCGTCCATGTCTTAATTGCGTCTAATTAAGAAAAGAAAATACTTAAATTGTATATCACTTCTAATCATGTTAAACACGTATTTGGTCGTGTCCCATGCGTGTCAATGTCGAACACGTGTCCGGTGTCCGAAACGGCATAAATTATAAACTTCAAATTCAAGCACTAACTCAATTATAATTCCCAGGATTGCAAAACTATCATGCCATATTCTGAAAGTACCCAAACGTGTTATCCCTTCGTCCTTATCACAACCGCATCAAATCCTGTTAGACAAAAGGGGAACAGTTTCTTTCCAAAAAAAAGAAGAAAAATGCCTGGGGCAAGTATAACCATAAATGTACCCATCTGAATGACCCACCAGACCAGAAAATGAGGACACCATTGTTCTGTGACTGGATAGTTCACGGAGCAAGTAGAGCCTCCCTGATTCGATAAGAGGTGCACCATTGCCAGGTATCCCACCGGCACCACAGAAGATAGAAAGATGGCACAGTTGCAGGCAAACACTTTGAGCTGTCATTTTAGAAGCTGCTGACTTTTGAAGGATTTGAAGTGGACAGGCTTTGAGTCCACTAGCTTCTGTACCCTTGTGTTGAAAACAGGGTAGTCCCCTGCACAATGATGGTGCCTTCAAAGATGAAACAAATTTCAAACAACTATAAGAGGAAAGCCTTTTCAATGTATCAACCATATAAACTATGTTCACATAGGCCCCAACTGCTTTTCTTGGCTAATTATCCCTTTCTAAAGAAGCATAAGGTTCCCCACCCCCCAAAATATCATTTTGATGATGGTTCTCTCCTACTTTGGAGCACTCACTCAATATCATTTTTTTAAAAATAATAATGATAAAAATAAATAAATAAACAAACATGTTTTTAAATAACATATTCTATAATTCTTTGGAAACAATTTTATGTTCGTTAAATTCTTGAAAACCGATTTCAGAAGCCTAAACCATATGAGTTCTAAATTTTTTTCATTATAAAAGATTAGAATTGGCTTGAATTTTACTTACCATGGCGATGCCATTTCTGCAAGACAACAATTCTGCAAGACAACAAGAGTTCAACTTTGATCGTTTTTTTTCCTGGGGGAGGGGAGACTCGAACATGGGCACACCTGTTAAGAGAACAGGGCGTTCAACCAACTAGGTAATGCCCCCTCAATAAAAATACACCAAGTTGATTATTACTTACCAGAAATAAACAATATCTCACACATGTTTCAACAATACATCTCGGAAATTAAGACATGTTAAAGAGTATTCTTTACATTTTGATCAAGTTTTTTTGTACACTCAAGTCACTTACATCATACAAGTTTTGAGAATTTACATGAACAAAATGGACACGAACTCCGTCCAATGTTACAAGGAACTGCTTCCAAGCCAAACAGCGGCTTAAAGGAAAGCTGGGTAGACTCATCTTTTATCATACACAAATAGTTGCTGGCATGTTTATTAGAAATAAATAGAATGATTGTTGTTTTTGATCTATTTGCTTCATGCTGGGCCGCCGGATCTCAATTCCTTTTCAAGCTCATCAAATTCCCAGCCGCTGATTTCTTCTGTTGAGTAGTCTTTATTAACCTTCCCGAATTCGGATTCTAGTTTTGCTAATTCTGCTTCAGGGTCTAGCACCTGCTCTCCCTTGACTGCAGGTGACTCGGGATGCTCATCTTTCTTAGCTTTTGGAGAGTCCGTTGTTTGCGTTGGCAGGCGGGATGAAGTTTCCGGCGATTTTTCAGAAGGTGGAGTCTCTGGCTGTGCGTCTGGATTCTCCAATTCTAAATTTGGTCTCTCGATAGATTCAAATTCCTCTCTTAATTTTTCAATGTTGTCAAATAGCTCTTTGATTCTTGCATCATCTTTCCTGGGTGAGGATGGACCACATATTCCGATTTCAGGAAATTGATGCATAAAGCACAAGGGATAATATAATAGGATCCAATATGAAAAAAAAAACAAGCTATAACACAAGCACAAAGCACCTGGAGATTTTCCCTTGTTGAGCGTAGAACTGTTCTTTCATGTTATCCACTACACTGAAGGTAGTTATAATCTGAAATTAGAGAACAAAACAAAGGTACTACCGCTGGTTAGTTGTCACTAATGCCTTTCTTCCTTCTTAAACCAAGGGTTGCGCCATTAAACCATTTATTTGGGGACAGAGGGAGTATGCAGACAACAATTTAGGATTCAGAACCATTCAGTGATGGAATAGAATAATAATCAATTGAAGATAAAGAACGAAACAAATGTGGAAGACAAACTTTACCATCGATTCTGGAAGGCATAGGTAAAATTAAAGGCCTGCTTGAGGTAATGGCACCTTTCACTCTTCACATATCATTTAACACTAGAAATTTGTCATCCTTAATTAAGCCATTACTTAACCCCCCACCCCCCTAAAAAAATAAAAAATAAATAAAAAGGGGGAGTCAAGCCATTTAAGGAAATGGTTTAAGTTCAAAACCTTTAATTTGTCATTTCAAGGAAACATAAGGCCATGTAAGAAGAAACATGGCAAGTCCTTTGTTTTTCCTAATTATATTCATTCAGCAGGGGGACTTGTACATGAAAAATGCTTTGTGTGAATGGAGCCACTCAAATTCGGAATGACCAAATAGGCCTTTAAGATATGGCAGAGTTTAAGTTGGGAAAAGATGCAGATCTGCACCCAAAGGAAGCGTATTACCAAAGCAGCACAAATTCCAACAAGAATTTCGATGTCCACAACATTCTTAGAAAGTTAGAAGTAGCAAACTAAACATGCAACAAAAAATAGGTCTACAAGATTGATCAAATCGGTGTATCACTATACAATTTCGAAGAACTTAAATAATGTATTGCAGTACTTCTCACTTATAATGATTAATTCAAAGAAAAACTGGTTTCAAATTTGCACACCATATATGACTGCAACAAGCAATGAAGGATGATAAGTCATAAGGAAAGGGGTAAAAATGATATCTTACTGAAACAAAACTTTCTTTGCCAGAAGAGAATCTAAAGATTGAAGTTCTGATCGGGCCAAATTGAACAAAAAATAAATAAATTATAATGATCTCATATATGAAAACAGTAACATTTTTACCTTAACCTCATAATCTAGATATTCCTCCTCGAGATTTTTTCTTGGGTTTACTGCTTTGGTATCCTCATTTTCCACGCTAGCTGCCATCCCTGACCTGTGAATGACATGAAAAATTTCAGAGATGTGGTCAAATAGGTCATGGTCATATCACTGCAATAAGCAACATTACCCTTCAGTTAAACTCTTTAAGTTCTCCACAAATTTCCCAATTCGATCAATAGAAGGCCTCAACTCTTTCTGCATAAGATATACAAGTGCACAAGAGGTACAGTAAAATGAAAAACTTGATTCGTAGCATTATAAGTCATTATGTAGTAAATTATTCAGATGAAAGAATTTATTAGTACCTCATAAGCAGAGAGGAGATCAATTACCAAGTTCACAAAATAACCCTCATGTCTCTCCAATTCATCACTTGAAAATGTAAAGAATCAATTAGTTACAAAAGCCGACAAGTATTTTAGAGATGATATAAATTCATAAGAAATGCTGAGAAAAAAGAAATAAAAATAATTAAACTTTGTCTTCAAGAACCATAAATTTAGAAGCAACTCCATACAACCAAGAGTGGTAATGCAAAAGTTAATAAGCATGACAGAAGCCAATAACATACTTGACCTGCTTCTCCTTGCTCTCTGTGTATGAACATTGAAGAGCCCAAGTATCTTCCAAGAAATTGATCCAAGTACTAAGCACATCTGCTTCTACCCTACATGAGGCTATAGATCTTGACAGCTCATCTTCCTATAAATTTTATCATGGTAAGAAAACATATTAGAAACGAGAATGAACACTGTATAATGTTGTTTGATAACCCAAAATTAAGTGATTGAAACTGAAATTTTCAATGCTCTAACTATTAAGTGCATATAATAGACCACAATTAGTTATCAATTAAAAGGAAAATTCTACCCGAAAGGGTCTGAATTTTATGAATTTTAGGTCATAGACTTGACTGATCACTCGAATGTATCAAGATATGGTTTTAAACTTTTAACCAACTCTGCAAATTTATCTTTAGAATTTTCAGTTCTACAAATTCAGCAGTTCAGAAGATTAAGCCCTATTAATCCAGTACTAAAATATTGACAGTTAATTTTCAGTTTAACCAAAGAGCACCTATATGGAAGCAATAAAGCATAAACTCTGTAATGAAAAACAAAAAATTTAAATTTAAATAATAATAATAATTTTAAAAAAAGGATCGAATCTAGACATCCTTAATACTCCCTCTGTCCCAAAAAAAAGTCTCTTTTGGGGAATGTAGCTTTTAAGAGTGTAATTTTTTATGTTTTTTTAGTATAGTGGTATGAAATGAATTTCCTAATATGCCCTTCTAAAATTTGGTCTAGACATTCTTTGACTATGACACTTATTTCGAGACAAGAGGGTAAATTAGGAATATTAAAAATATAGTTCATTCAATTTTGAACCATGACGCTTATTTTGGGACAACCAAAAAAGGAAAGGTGGACACTTTTTTATGGGACGGAGGGAGTAGTTAATAACTTAATAATCTCTATGAGAAAAATAAAAAATAAAAAATAATAACTTAATATCTCCAAAAGTACCTGGAAGGGGTAAAAAACTACAAATAAAATAAAAATAGACCTTTGTTTTCAAAAGTGCAACAATCTGATCATTTGCTTCATAAAAGTGGTCCCTTTCTTCAATGGCATTGCGAAGACGTGCTTTAGCAGCAGCCAAGGAGATATTGACCTAAACCATATATCAGAAGAATAAATATGTTATAATGGAAGAAGTGAATATGCAGAGCACAGCTGCAGAAGAAAGCGTGGAATAACAACAATATTATGTACCAAAAACAATACCAATCAACCTTCCCCATCAATATAATTTCAGACCCAAAGACTAGCACTGAGAATTGATTCATACAAGGGCAACATACAAAACAATTATGTTTTCACAAAGTTAACTCTAGAGAGCACTATCCAAAGTTAAAAAATTATATAATAATCGATCAGTGGTTCTTTAAATTACGAAAGCTGAGAGCAATACGATCACTAAATTTTTAAAAGAATTTTTGCCAAACTGGTGCCCAGAAAATTGACTCAAGCACTGCCTTAATCATAATGCCAAAGGATAAGGCCTACGCTTGGTTCAACATGACTAAGGTGCACCAAACTCGATAGTTCCTCATAATCACAAGACTTATTTGGTCCAATTAAAATCAGAAACACTTGCTTGGAAGTGTTGTTACTCTTGCTCATTCAGCTACTAGGTTACTATTTATATAGCCTCTTGGCAGCCCCTTTTTATGAGTCATTGACTCATTGATTAAGCTATGAGTGATACACCATCCTCAGTTATTACTTTTAACCATGCTCTTCTACACCATTTTGGTTGATGGTCAGAATGAGTTACTCTTCCCCAGAACCTCACTTGCTGTAGCCAGTGGCCTAAATTCTGTGTGCTAAAATGACTTTATATATATATATATACACACACTATGTCTCTAAAAAAAACTATAAAGCTTAGCCAGTGCATTAATGTAATGCCCATTGTTGTCATGACTTTGATAGAGATGGTGCCAAACTTTTTCTTTTCAACTGTTTTACAATGTAGCAATATTTTAATCTCACTAATTCAAAGTAAAGTTGACGATTTGGAACTTAAGCAATACAACCATCTTACAGTGTGAATCATACCAATTGGGCAAATTTCACAAAGGTACTTAAAGTTGCTAATCGCTGGTTGAGCACATTATAATTGTTCATGTTCACATACAGTCTCTCAAAAATATGTTGAATTTCAATTGGTCATTTGACTCATATTCTACATTTGGATGATGCCCATGAATTGGTAAACAAGAAATTCGAGATCCGGTGAGCTTCAATTAAATATAAAGAGATGTTCTAGAAACATAACAAAAACAGTGTATAAATTGGAAGCTTCTGAAAATGCATAATTCGAGCCAATATGGCTACCCAAAAGGTGAGCCAATGATGTAAAATTGAAAATAATGCACTGCTGCATACCAAAATTTCTGAAAGCAGTAAACCAAACATTTTACATCCAGATAAAGTAGTATGGTAAGTAAAGTAGAATCTGTCAACATCACTCAAGCAACTCTATAAGTGCCGTTGCTGTTGGCCAATATATATATATATATATATATATATATATATATATTCAAATACATGACCAAAATAAAACTTCATCACACACATTTGCCTATCTTTACTAATATTGATAAAAATGTCACAAACGTGCACTGATCTTTTAATTCATAACAGAACAGACCCTCAGAACATAAAATAGCTTGACACAGCTACTTTCTATAATGTTGCATATATAAGGAAACAAATACACATCTATTTACTACAACCAAATTGTATGCTGTGGGTTTGAGAATTGAGACTGCCTTGATAAACACGCAAGTCTCACAAGAAAATGACAATTCTCACAATATTCTGAATGCAAAGAACCAAATTGCAATCATGAGTGAGAGTTTCACCTACAGGCTAGTACAAAAGGTTATAGGGTTAAAACGTTGGAGGAGTGTTTCCCCACCAAGTATCACCTGTAATGCTATAAATCAACAGAACACTTTGATCTTCAAAGGAGAACATGTTCACACCAAATTCACAAATGAAACAATAAGGAGCTTGTGATGTCCATGATTTGAAGGTGCAAATTATAAAACCTTTCTCAATGCATTTGCATTCTAATTTGTTGTTTTCAGCTCATATATTTTTAATGAATAAATTTATATCTTTTCTTATAAGTATCTGACAGTGATCTTAGCATGGAAGTAGAATATAGTATGTTCATCCTGATATACTACAAACATTCTGTATTATCATGTTCCAATACAGAGCACTGAATAGAACACCAGCTAGATCCATTATACAAAAAGGAAGCATGCATATACGGCATCATGCATGTAACTCAAAACAGTAAGCTGAAGAAAATGACAGAGTTTAGAAATGCTGGATCATAGAAGATTTTATACTGGAACCAAAAATGAAAGTGTAATAAGATTATGACAAGTTTATTAGAGTCAGTCACGTTGCATTATCACTGAAGAAAATATGGGTGACAATCACAAATTCATAGTGGTGTATTAGTGTCAACCAGCTCAATTTCAGCGGTTCAATTGTGAAATGAAATAAATGGATGGTAAGAGAAATAAACTTTTTTAAATACTTTATTATTATATTCAAGCGTTTTTAGTAGGTTACTTCAATGCAATCGTATGGGACCAATCACTAACATAAGCATGTTAAAAACACTGCAAGATGAGGAGATATGACCTACAGAATTTATGGTATCAATATCTGATAATAATCACAATAGCATGTCTCTGATTAAGGCTATCTTTCACTTCAAAAAAAAAAATAAATAAATAAAAATCAAGGGGAAAAAGAAAAGACCAGAAAGAAAAAATATTACAGGATAAAAACCTTTTTCAGTTCAGCTTCGAGTTCATCTCTTTGTTTCTCAAGTCCTGATATCTCAACTGCTAAATCCTAGCAACAAAACATAGAAAAAAAGTCTTTAGTTTATCTCATAAACAAATGAAACCCTAAATAAAGACAGTTTGCATGCTTGGATGCACAAATTAGACAAGTTAATAGCTATTAAATGACTAGATTCATGTTAAATGTGACCAAAGATCAATCAAGTATGCATAAATATATGCACATGATGTGACAGTTCTGTGCAGTTCCTGTCAAAAAAATAAGTTGAAGCATTTCAATCAAACCATACGATTATAACTGTCTTCAATTTCATTTAAAAAACCTTTATTTACGCTGTATTTCAAAGACAAGGCAATTTTTGTACTTTATTACCGATGATTCAAGGACAAATCATGATGCCTAAATTGACATTGCAATCTATAGAAAGTTGCATGGACGCGGATATGACATAATAACTAAACAAGTAGGATGAAGACATGGAGCGTATGACAATGCATCTATGCCGGAAAAAACACATTATGACAACTGATCTGCTCCCCCCCTCCCCCTCTTCCTTTGATTTTAACCTTCATAACACCCCACTTCTTTGTAGTTCAAGCTTTATCATTTTACAAAAGAATTTATTTAGGTTATGCATATTGTGTTTTACTTGTAATCAGCTGTATTATCCCAATGCTTGAGATGATTCCAAAACGTTCAGACAGGTTCGGAGATTCCTGCCATTTGCCCAAAACCTAAGTTCCTTTCCCCTTTTTCAATCATGGGCACGTCCAAGACATGTCATATACATGTCCAAAAGTTCTGCAACATACTGGCTTCTGGTATGGTCACATTAGTAGAAATATCCAACTTTTTCAGAATTCATAATTGCCAGAAAATCTTCTAGTTATTATATCTTCTGCATTCCTGAAATGCCAAACAAGCAAAGAGTGCAATTCACTGAAAACAAAGTACCTTCTCAATTTCACCAACTTCCGTTGCTTTGCCCACACGAAATTTTACTGCCTCCTCTTTCTGATATCTGTTGAAAATAGATTAAGAAAAAAGAAAAAGTAGTATTCTAGTATCAGACATTAATTACAATGAGCAATAACACACCCGACACAGAAAAACTCCCTGATTTAAGCAAATACTAAAATATTGGAACATGACGAAAAAGAAAATTTTAAGTGATGCGGCAAAAGGGTTGCTTCACATGATGTTTCATGGCCTTGCTACTAAGGCCTGCATTTCACATTAAAGTTACTACCCCCCACCCCAGGGACAGAGCCAGTAATATTTATTTGGGGGGGCCAAACTAGTAACATAAAATTAAATTTTAAAAATAAAATAATATAATTGTAAAGATATTTTTAGTGCACTTTTAATGTTTACTGTTAAGAGCATTACTTATCAAAATATTGTTAAGAGCATGTCTATAAATGATATGAGAAGAACAGTTGAGGTTGTGAACTGTCGAGCAATTTTTTTTTTTTTTACTCTCTCTAATTCAGAACAAATAATGTGTGTGTGTGTGTGTGTGTGTGTGTGTGTGTGTGTGTGAGTGTATGAATAGAGTATGTTCTATAGAAAATTACCATTAATAACTATAATTTAGAACCATAAATAGAGCTTTGAATTTTTTTGTTCTTTTTTTTTCAATGTAACAAAAAAAATTATGATTAAGTAAAATATTAAGATATAGCTCTGAAAGTATAACAATTAAACCTTTGAGAATTTTTCTCATTGAAATTAAAGCACATGCAGTTCTTATATTAAAAATATACCTGTGGTCTGATATGCGCTTCTCGGCCTTTGTGGAGGAATTAGCAAGAGATTCTGATAAGACTTTCAACTTATCAACCTGCTTATTATTTAAATAATAACTTTAGTCTTTATTAAGATGAGCATCCTGAATCAAGACTTATCAAATAGTGAAGCAAAGTGCTAATTTTATAGGCTAATAAAAAAAAAAGAAACAATGCCTCGTTTTTTGCAGATCTGAGAATGAAGGAAAACACATAAGCAAGCATCACATATATAAAGATGATTGTCGCGTCCACAAGTGTACAACACCAACTATTAATGGAGAGAAGTTAAGCAGAAGGAAGAAAGCACCAACACAACCGCATGCTTTCACAAACCTACAGCAAGAAAGTTTTATACCTTTTGAGCATGAATCTCCGAAGAGTCTCCACTACTAATTGATTTCTTCTTCAGTAGAAGTCCTTCTAATTTGGAACAAACTCGAATATGTGCAAGAGCTTCTTTCAGAGCCTATTGGAAAAATACAATGATCAGATTCTCCTGTTCATATATCTGCACTCACCAAATGGTTAATACACGGTACATGATTTTGGAATCCCCGTGCCTCAGAACTATTTTACAATTATCTCAATTCCAATGATTGGGATCCAAAAGTAACATTAAGATATCGGCTGAAATAACAATTTTCTTGCTTCACATTAAAATCAATTATTTAGCAGCAAGTCTCACACTCTTAATATTCCATGTTTGATTATAGTCATATCAACTCATCATCCCATCAAACTAAAAGAAGGTTTTTAAAGAAAACAGTAAAAGGAAAATATCACATTAACCAGAATCACCTGCATTGTTGCAGCAGTTGATTCTTTGGAAGCTGTTTCATGACCACCAATAGAATCCCTAGTTGTTGTCATTCCATCAAGTGTCTTCCTCAGAACAGAGGCTTCAGCATCTATTCTGCAAGCAGAAGCAGCTCATACATAAGAGATATCACAACTTATTAATGTTTTTTCCCATTTAAAACAATAGATTACATCTAACACACAATTTCAAAATACAAACACACACACATATACACTGATGCTATGTTTGGGAGCACCGAATCGGCACTATGGATTTGGAATTGAAGGAAATTTAGTTCGAAAGTTAACTGAATTTCCTCCAATTCCAAATCCAAGGCGCCGTTTCGGTGCTCCCAAACACAAGGTAAGAATTATCTGGCAGTATTCAGGCTAGCAACACAGCCCAAATCAGGTGAGATTTGAACCTTCTTTCCTCTGCTAGTCTGGATATAGAAACAGATTCTAATCAAAATTATGACCTTCCTGATAACAAATACTTCTCCTATTTTCTTTTTCTTCTCCCCCCCCCCCCCCCCCCCCCCCCCCTCTTTTCTTTTCAAAACTTTGGTGTGTGGATATGTATATGCATGACAAATTTCTCAAAAGAACTCATGAATTGAAAGACTAAAAACTAAGAACTGGTCTTCCAAATTTATCATGTGATTTGAGAAACCTTTAGTTAGGACGAGATATGTTCAAGTTCAACACAACATGACTATGGCATGATTCTCTTTGCTGCACAAGTGTATCAACAATCATGCACATCTGTCACATAATGGCATGACCATAAAAAAATTTACCTATCAAAAAAAAAAATGGCATGACCATAAAAAAATGGCATTTTAGATTCTAAGAGATTGCCCTGTCAGAGACCCCAAGTTTTGCAAACAGAAACGTCCATGTCAGCACCAATGTTAGTTAAAATTAATACATTATTCAAGGAAAAGGCAAGAGCTTCATGATATCTATTACTCATACAAAATAAATTAATTAATTAATTAAAAATTAAAAAAAAAAAAAAAATAGATCAGGATTGCCACTGATAGGGAGAAGGGAAAAAAAAAAAAAAAAAAAAAAAAAAAAACACCCCCCTGGTTTTCCCAATTACCTTCCAATATCAGCATTTATTTTCAACCCTGTGATGGCACCTTGTGCAAACTGGAGCAATTCCTCCCGCTTCACCTAAAAAAGTCAATGGTAAAGACTTACAAGCCTAAAAGCCTAAACTTCATATACAAGAATAAGAAGAAAATTGCCAAAAGCACTGAAGGTCCAAAGTGACTCCAGAGCACCAAGGTACACATAAACAAGTATAAAAATGTATGTATATAAAAAGGTAAGTGCAAAGTAGATATACATATATATAATATCAATAAGTTTAAATCTCATAAATATATGGTTATGACATAACAGTTCTGTGACTACTTAAGAGATGTGCCCAAGGCAGGATCTATCAAATTATTTTGGTAAGGGCCAAAATGAATGTACTACAAATAATATTATCGATGTAAATGTAAATATTTAAGTTCCCCTTCTCACAAAATAATTAACAGTAAATATATATTTCTTTTTTAACTTGCACGCCAACAGTACTTGCTACTTTCCAAGAGAAATTACCTACAATTTTTTTACCTAGATCCATAGCAGCTACGAAGGCATTCCCCATTCAAGGGTTCAAAGAGCATTCACCAAGAAAACCCTCACCCCTTTCCTCCTCTCCATGATAGAAAATGTTGTTAACATATTCAACAAGGTCCAAAGATTAGAGAAAACAAGACTTCACCATAGGGAGAGGAAGTGTAAAGGTAATGCATGTTAACCATGATGATACCATCTTCTGCGTACATGCCTCCTCAGATATTGAGCATGTTAAAGCAAATCCTTAGTCGCCTTAACATTGTCTCCAGTATTAAAATAAATAAATAGATTTCCAGAGAGAGCAATGTACTTGGTCTTAGCATTAACAGATCCTACATAGCTATTTTAAAAGGGTGTAGGGTATCTTGGTCTTCCTGAAGTGGTATTCATTAATTCGGGTTTCTGGTTCATATTGAGAAAGAAACTAGTATATCTGCTATGGAAAAGAAAAATGGAAATAAATAAATGAATAAATAAAAAGAAGAAAAGGAGAGAAAACAAGCTAACCTTTGGCGGCAAAATTACTTTAACTCAATCAAACTTAGAAAACGTGTAGAAATGTTGCAATTAACTAAGTCAGATAACCACTAAAAGACCCTCAAGGGGTTTCAGTTGGTCTGGGCTAGAGAACATGAAATGTGATCAGTGGTCAAGTGGACTCGAACAGAATAAGGTGAGCAGAATTAAAGTTGAATGAAACCAGGTTTTGCAACTGTGATTTCAAGAAGTGTATTTCTGAGTGCTTAAATGCTTTGGAAGTCACTTCTGGAAATTAATAAACATAGTATTCAACCATGATCAGTTATGTCTTCATATAAACTAGTGGAATTCTTATTTAGCTGATTGGGTAACACAGAGGAGCTCAGAAAAGTTTCTTCCCAACCCTGTCCTTTTTTTCTCAATCACATCCAATTAAGGATGGATCTATTAGAGAATACCACTTCTGGCTCAACTTATGATGGGGCAATGTCCATTTAGCATTGGGTACAACAAACTCCTCTATATCTCCTGGTCCAACACTGCTTCTAGCCTTCTATTGAACACGTGTGGTTTCCCGCCCCCCCTCCCGTATAAAAAATTATAATTTTCCATTGCCAGAACAGGGGGAAATTTGCTTAGCATATGAGGATACACAGCTATAAGGTAAATATATGTGCCTTGCTTATTATACAAATCAATGTTCCCTTTTGAAAGAACTGAATAACATTGCTCCAAGAAAAAAAATTGTAAATCCATGAGGTTTTTCAGCCCTTTACCAAAACTTCATCCTGGTAACTTGAAAAAGCTTTAGCAAGATCCTGTATACTGCTCACTATCGCATTATGGATTTCTTTTCCTCCCGAAAGACAAAGCCTGCATCAATTAAGAACAGAGAAAAATTCAAATACAATTGAAGTTAAGCCTATTTATTAAAAGCTAATAATGCTGCAAACCCTGGCAAAGAAAAATATATCTTCAACATACTTGGAGCCAAGTCATAAACACACTATAAAAATTGTGATAGTGAACAAACTCACTCAAACATTTCCAAGAGTAAAGAAACTTCCTCCTCATTAGGTGCTTCAAGAATCTGAATCACAGAAAAGAGTTGAACTGCAGTTAACTTCCACGATCAGCAATAAACAAGCCCAACATAAAGTTCTAAAACTCATGTACTATATCACATCGATATATTTTTAAAACTTCAGCATGGTGACTATCTATAAATTCTGATCAATCAAGAAATTCCAGTCCTTCTCCATTTATTCCAATTAAATATATTGTCAAGAGAAATTTAAAACGAAACATTATATACATGAGATTTACAACTCATGCTAAGGTTTGCACCTCGCTCTTTGGCCTAGTAAATACCTCGTGTTGCAGTTACACCTTTAATAACACTTAGAAACTTCAAGCGCAAAGAATGTGCATCAATGCTAGTGCTTGGCGTGAACAAATTATTAAATTTGTTGAAGACAAACAAAAATGCTTCTCTTCAGCGAAAATACCGAGAAGAAATTAATTCACATACCATAGATATTGCTATGCCCTCCAAAGCTTGACTGGAGAGAAAAACATCCCGAAAGTTCATTGGTTCGCCCCCCAAATCAGAGTCATAATAGTGAACCTATCCATGATTAGCAAGGTTAGAGACAAGAAACTTCATCAAGAGGATTCCACACATGAATGGTTCATTTAATGTCGGAGTTATACTTACATTTCAGAAAGTGAAAATATAACAATTATTTGTCAAGACTAAAGGATTACTCAGAATAATCAATTTTTTATACTTGGGATCAATAATACAAATTGGTTAACGAAATTAATAGCAAAATCGAAATAAGGAGGACAAAATGGAGACAGACTAGTGATACTCCATGTGATAAAAAAAAAAATACCAAATAAGTTGAAGAAAAAATTTCTAGGACAGTTACTTGGCTAGCTACCTTATATGGGACATAGTGTCGGATATTAAAAAAGAAATAAGAAATTGCATTCATGTAGCTGAAATGAAATGTTGAGATGTACGATAGGAGTGACTAGAAGAGATAAGTTTACTGAGACGAAAAGATTAGGAATAGCACTTGTCAATGACAAAATAAGAGAAAAAAGGCTTAGGTGATATAAACATATACAACTTAGACCTACAGACTTCGCTTCACCTGCTGCTATACTGACTGCTACTGATGAAAGTCATCCCACTTGAACATTAGGAAGAAAAACGGAACCTAACGGGGCGGGAAGCGCTTTTGGTTTTTCATGTTGTCAAAGTGCGCGATACCAAATTCAATGGTGCTATGAGCAGAACAGGAGGGGCGGGCTGCTCCCCAGGGCCTCGTTCATAGATAGGAGTAGGGCACTGGTCTTTCAACAGACCGATTTCAAGGGGAAAGGCTTAGGTGATATAAACATATACAACTTAGACCCACAGATGCACTAGTGAATGCACCAGTGAGAAAAGAAAATTTATTTTACACTGAAGGTAAACTTGGGATGAAGGAATTAGAAATGACTTTAAAAAATTAAATATAAGTGCAGACATGGTGTGTTATAGAATAGAATGAAAAAAGAGAATTTATATAGTCATTCCCATTCATTTGTGGCATGAATAATAGACGTTAGTTTATGCACCAAATCTGTCAGTGAGGGACTTTATTTCTAGAAGACTTGATGGGTGCACACAGTACACAAATTAACACAATTCTCCAGACTTAATAAGTAATTTCACAAGCAGCCATGAGAGTCATTAATGTGGGAATCACTCTTAACTCAACTTCTACATAATCTCCTTCGAGTAAGGGGTTCATTAAAAAGAATTTCAATTTTTTAAAATTCAACTGCTGTAAATTTAAATTCAAAATTTGTAAATTTAACTGCTGTAGGGTAGGTAGGTCACTTCCAAAATTAGAAAATTGACACCACCACAAGTAATTATTATGCATTTTATACTGCAAATTCAAATTATTTATAAAAAAGGAAAGAAAGAAAGTAATATGATAACTACCAAATTACAATGCATTAGGCATCAATGACATAGAGCGTGTCAGTACAATTTTTCATATGAAGTGAGACTGGAGTTAACTAAAAACCACACAAACAAATTACAGTTTGATATTTTACCAATGAGAGAAGACAAGCAAAGTATACAAAATGACTCACTAAATATGGTTTTTTAGGAGTATCCTTCATTTCTTCAGAAGGATGCTGCTGCTCAGTGTTCCTTTCTTTATTTTCAAGGGGAATCTGAGATAATTCCTCAATTTCTTTCAGTGCAGCCAACCATCTTCTCACCAACTGAATTCTTTCCGGTCCCCTAGAAGAAACAGAAGCTTCCTCTAATCTTTTAACAGTAAGCCTAAAGCTTTTAAAATTCCGTGGCCCCTGCAAATCATGCAACTTATAAATGTCAAAGAAATTGCAAAATAATACATCCATTAATTAATTACAGAGAGCTTAAAAATCTAAATGGAAAATCAGAGAGAGATGCTCAAGAAATGCAAAAGGATATGTTCCCTCCACTGTCATTGACATGCAGTCATGCACATATGACAAAATTGAATGATAAAAATAATCTTCTGATAAGAGGATTAAAAAAATCCCATTGCCTTCATGAAACATGAATTCAAGTTCCATAAAACTCAAACCTGTCTCTTTCATTTCCTCAAAGTCATACGATCAAGTAAAAACCATTCTTAAAAATGCCTTGATTACCTTACTTAGAAATAACACTTGACTTCCAGTATTTAGTTATAAACACAGCTTTAAATCCCGATATGCAGCAAGGTCGTGGTTTAGCGGTATAGAAAGTTTCAAACTTTTTTTATCTCCGAGACTCTAAAAACCATTCAAATGCAATGATATGAATGATTTAATCCCAATGTGTCACGCATAAATGTTTCTAATTGGTTTTTATAAATATGATGACACCCATAAAGATGCTACACTAATTCTACTGGAATTTACTGTTGTGGTTTTGTGGAGTCTGATTAGGTGGAAGATTTTTAGGAAGATTTAATTATATGGAAACTTCAAGCGTACTGAATTTTAGGGAAAATTCAATTTCCTAATCTGTTAGGGAAAATTCAGTTTCCTAATCTGATTTGACTTTCTTATTGGTTTAAGGAAAATTCAGTTTGCTAATCTGATTTAATTTCCTTATTGGTTTTGGATTCTAAAAAAGGCAAGTTCTTGTATGACAAGTTTGGAACTCTATAAATAGGGGTGAAAATTAGAGATAAATTTGTGCCAATACAAGAGAGAGCAATTGAGAGAGATTGAGAGAGAATTCTCCTTCTAATTCTTCATCTTTTTCATAGTGAATTTGTTCGGTGTGCTCTATGGACGTAGCCCTAAGATTTGGATGAACCGTGTATATCTTGTGTTCTTGTGTGTGATTTTTTTATTCTTCGTGATTGCTTGTTTATTCCTTAAACAATGTTGTTTATTTTGCGTTTCCGCCACAACAACTGGTATCAAATCCGGTTGATTGTGTAGTGCAACTACATTTACAGACTTTAAGTAAAACTTTATGCTACTTGGCTGTTGTTAAATAAAATAAAAAATAAAAAATAAAAAAAAAAGGAAGAAGATAAAGATAAAGTATAACTTCATACCCAATAATTCGTTTTCATTTCTTACCAAATAGAACAGTTCCATTTCTTTTCTTTCGCTTCCTTTTTGTTCGGAGAAAAAATTGAATCAATACTTTAAAGAACATAAGTAAATAAAAATTAAAAATGATAAAAATGAAAAGCTCCAATATCTTATCTCAGCTATAACTTTTAAGGACCATCACTTACCATGTGTGAGCCATAAGAATGATATATGAATCAGATCAACATTCACAAAATTTTATTTGCCAAGAAATCCTTCTTTGATAATCTGGTTAAGCAAATGAATGACAATTATGAAGAGACTGGCTGAGAACCAAAAGCCCCAAAAGTGGCGGAAACTAAAAAGCCCCAACAACAACAAAAACAACATGAGCTAAGAAAAAATGATAATTTCAACATCCAGCTGCCAACACAGTGCACCTGAGACACCATCATCAACCGCCTCATCAAGATGCTCTCCACCTCTTACATCCTCTCAGGGTACTATAGATCCATGCCCAATGACAAGGACACTAGCCACCCTGTTCTTGAGGGCTGACAATTACACTGGGCAGAGCCAATGTTGGATCACCAACAACCATATTGCCTCTCTCTCTCTCACACACACACACAATTCCAGTTCCTCAACAAAATCCCCGATCTTTAGGATTTGGACTATGAGTGTCTTCACATGATCAACTAAATAAGTTCAATCTCAGAACAACTGCAATGAAACTAGCAAGAGAAAACCAGCACAGCATTTCAATACCGTGAGTTCACTCAGACCACAACCATGACCTTTCTTACTTCTCCCATAATGTTACATAACAGCCGCTACAGCTGTTAAAGTGTGAATTTTATCACACCGCTTTGTTAGCCTGCAACCCGAATTTCAAATAGATGTTCTAAGCAGAGACTACATTTTAGACAACTAATGCCTTTCAGCTCATCTCGTTTAATTCACTGAGCTCCAATATATAAATATACCCATATATTTGTATCTGTGCAAGCATCAAAATACCAATCCCTAAATGCAGAAACGAAACAATTTCATCTTGCATTTGCATATACACCTAACTAAAGTTTCAATCTTCAAACAATCTCAACAAGCATAAATGATTTTAGCTCGTAAATTAATAATAACGCAACAATTTAAACTCAAATTATTATGTAATACAACGCAAATACAGAACAAAAACAAAAACTACTTTCAAAATATATATATAGTGAGAATGAAGCTGAGAATTTACCATGCGATCTTGGATGATTTTGGCGCCTTCAGCGACGGCTTGACCGGCGTGTTGGACGACAGTGTCAGCGTAGTTCTTGACGGTGCGAGTGAGGTTGTTCTTGTTCCCAACCTCCACGGCTTTGTTCACCGCAGATCTCAACCACGACATTGCAACAAGTAACAACGCACTGTTACTGTTGTTAGGGATAATTTCAAACAAAATGAAACACAAATTGATATATATATATATATATATATTAATTATATAGACACGGTCGTTGATTATCGAAGTGAAGAGGAGAGAGAAACAGAAGAGGAGATCGTGCACGGAAGGAGTTTTGTTGGGGGGTTTTGGACAGTTCGCTAATGGAAATTGGTAAGGTACAGACTGGGTCAGATTTTCGGCAACAGTTTTCGTCAATGGCCAAAGTGGTGTCGTTTTTGGTTTGTTTTGTGGAAAATGTGACCTAACAGTCTACATTTGTATTGATAACAATGATAAGGTGAAACCAATTGTCAATTGGAATGCCAAGACATTTTAGTAGGCTTGTAGATGAATAAAGTTCATGGGCAATAACAATAATAATAATATTTTTTCACATCATAATAATAAGGGTTAATTATAACACACCCTCTGAAGTTTGATATAATGACAGTCATATATAACTTAGCTGTTTTTTGAACAGAGAGACCCCCTGTGATAATTTTGATACAACCAAGCCCTTAAAACGTTTAAAAATACGAAACTGCCCTTCAATATTTAATTCATTTTTATTGTAAAATATCACAACTGATAAAAACTCAAATTTACCCTCCTATATATACACTGTATACACTATTACCCATATATATACATTATATACACTATTGGAAGAGCCGAGGGGAAAAGAGACCAGCCATATCGCTACCATTACCACCCATTGCAGCCACCACCAGTCCATAACCACAAAGAAATCCATTATTACAACCCAAAATTTAGAAACATATTATTGCAAGACCCAAAGAAATTTGATATATATAGGCACACAATGTTATATACACAAAGTACATAACCAAAGAAACCAACATAGAAAATCGATCATATATATTGTAAGCATATAAACCCACCAACAGCAAGCTTATCAAAATTTCTTACTTCACAACTATGTTCTGTCATATCGTCATCTCTCTGCACATTGATTCTTGAACCACAAACATCTATTCCTCCTCTCTTTCTTCAACCCAATCTCTCTCTCTAGCAATTAAAATTACTGGCCGACGTTCGCAACAGCGAGCCGTCTCCGGGAATCGCCGATTAGCTCCCCGATCCGAAGCATTAACGCCGACGTCCGCAACGGCGAGCCGTCTCCGGGAATCGCCGATTAGCTCCCCGATCCGAAGTGTCAACGCGTTAAGGAAGTCTCGATCGCCACCGTTGTTGAAGAGAAGAAGCTTCATCGGGTCGTCTTGAACCACTGGAAACTCGAGGTTTTGTCAACCGAGTCTAACTCGGCGGTGATACGGGCGGGTTCAATGGCTGACTAGTCAGAGTTGGATGCGATCTCAAGAGTTGTTGACGGAAACCAACAGTAGCGGCAATGGTAATGGTGGGTTCAATTAGGATTTTTTGTGGGTTTTTTCCTGGGTTCAATTGGCTGGGTTTTGGTTTTTCATGGGTTCAATTGGCTGGATTTTTGTGATCTTTTCATGGATTCAATTAATGGGTTTTGGTTGTGGTGGCAGAAGTTGCAGTGGTGGGTGGAGAGAGAGAAAAAAAGGGGTGGGCAGTATTGGTGGGTAGTAGTTGCGGTGGTTCCGACTGGTGGGTGGTGGTTGCAGTGGTGGCTATGGTAAAGGTTGTGAAATGGTAGCGGTGGGTGTCAACAAGTCGGGGTGTGGTGGCTGTTGGTTTATGTAGGGTATTTTGGTCAATAAAAAATAATTGTATTGGATAAATTGGTAATTGAATGTGTCAAAGGGTAATAATGTCAATTCACCGTGTCTAAGGACTATTGGGGTGTCTTTGTAAATTTTATTAAACCTGAAGGGGTGTCATCGTTCAAAAATGGCCCAACTTATATATAGCTGTTATTATGTCAAACCTTAGGGGGTACCGTTGTAATTAACCCTGATAATAATAATAATTTTTTCTTCTTACCTCCGAATTCTTCTCAACGCTCCTATTGAAGTGTTTGAACTTGGAAGATGCAATGTTTAACCCTCATTTCATAAATACCCATTCCATTTATACATTCCTTATATGAGTTTTACTTCTATAATCAAAATTGTGTCAAAAGTACATTTCTTTTTGGTGTATTTCATTGTCCAAATTTTTAACATATTTATATTATAATCATACCATTATAGTGTGAAAATATCAAAGAAACGATGATTAAAACAACGTTTTGATAAGTAACTGATGTAGCATGATTAAATTTCAGAACGCTACACGATGGAGAATACAAGAGGAATTTAATCCAGTGCAATCAGATTTTAAAAGCTTCAAATTTGTGTTTGAGATACAAAAACAAATACGGGAGTGTATTTTAATTTTTAAATCTCTACCAATCAGAATTTGAAAGCTTCAATTTTTATTTTTATTTTCTCATTGTCAAAAGACAACTTTTTTTTGCGCCACCAAACACAAGTTAAAGAGTGAGTTGTCTCACTTGTGTTACATTTTGACTAGAATATAATAAAGCTTTCTTGTAATTTATTTTCCTCTTTCATGGTCTTTGAGTAAAATATTCTGCCTCGTCTGATCTCATCCCATTTTTACACGTTGGACAAACAATGCCAAAAAAACAAATTAACTTGCTAAATGCTAATTGCACGGATAATTGAAGCTTACAATGATATGTTTTAGTTTGGGAAGGGCGGATTTCAACCTATAATTAATAGAGTGGATGCACCATAAATCTTACTCTTTTATCATTCGGACAACACCACCACAATTTTCACATTATTTAAATAATATAAATATCGATCCTCAAATAATTTGTCTTGTTTTGATTTGACATCTCTTTTATGATATAATACTAGTCCATTTATATTTATAATAAAATAATGAACATCTTGTTTCTTTTTTTTTTTCTTTTTCTTTTTTTTTGTCCATGACAAAAGTAATGTCCTACAACATTTATATGAAACAGAACATCAAAACACAAATTACAATCAGAACAGACAAACTAAACAACCAAACAACAAAAAACCCACATGACCCACAAAAACAAATATGATGTGATAAACACAAGGCAACACCAAGATTATGAATCGAGGCTGATGTGTCAAACACATTGCAACACAAATATATGGATAGACACCCTTTCCACGCACCATCATGACACTCGGTAACAAGTGGCCCCCAAACAAACACCACACAGTACACTGAAAGCCCACAGGATCACATGTCGCAGTACACTAAAAGCCCACAGGAGCACCACACAGTACACTGACAAGTGGACCCACCTCAGCACACGCGTGAACCAGACACCAAAGGAACAACAACAACCGGACACAACAGGAAGCCACCGTCATCGGAAAACACCGTAAGCGGAGGCCATCGGGAGGTCGATACAGCATCTCTATCGACCAATATGACAACGATTGAGAGATATCCCGCAAAGGGATTTGAGAAGGAATTGCATGGCCAAAAGAAATCCAGGAAGGAGCCTGTACGTCATTGAAGGAATTATTCAGAGGGCTCCCAAATGTGATAGCAACAGGGCCATTAACAACCAGATAAGAGAGTAGTAAACTCCAAAGCGGATGGACATCGTCCTCATCAAGGCCGAAAAGACCAGTGCCGACGTAATGGTGGCGGGAGTGCCTCAAAACCCCATAGACCAAAGCCACGGAGGGATCCGCAGCGCCAACCACTGCTTGAAGCAAGAAAACCCAATCCAACACCGAGCCTAGATAGATACCAACACAACACAATGAGAAAAGTATAACTAAAAGGTATATAATAACTATAATACCTGGATCAAAGGGGAAACCCGACGCAGAAGTACCAATCGTGTGGCCACCGGCCAAAACACACGATCCAGTAAACTGCAGGAGAGAGGAAGCCCTCCAAAAAAATAAAATAAAATTTGCGGGAAAAGAAAATGCTAGTAATGTTATTGAGTACATGCATAAAATTTTATAAGAGGTTAAAATAATAAATGTTGAATAGTAAAGGCAGGACAATAATAAATTATTGGGTTCTGAATTTTTCCTAGAATGTGAATGATTGATTTTTTTAATATTTTTATTTCTAGCATTTTCTCATTTTATTTTTATTTTTTTCCAAAAAGGCCAAGCAATTGGATTAATAAAAGGAGGAAGTACAGAAAAGGCTAGCCTACTAAGATATTGGCCCAAGAGAATCCACTTAGCATACAATCACCTAAGAAAGGGTACAAGACGCCCAGTCCAAACCAACCATCATTATACGTGCTTTTTATACAATGACAATGTTACCCCTTTTTTTTGTGTATAAAATACAATATAATATATTATTATAATACAAGGGTATTATTGATTTTTTACACATAAAGTCACTTTCCAGCACCCAACAGGTTCATGGGAAATCACAGACGATGAACCATTTATCTATATATAATTTGCCTTAACCTCAAAAGTAAACATCGTAGTTTACCTAGATGTTTAGGTAACTAATATGAATGAATAATGTTATTATAAAAATAAGAGTTTTAATTCTCTTCCTCTATGTGCAACCAAAGTCTCAAAAGCTTCAAATTTGTGCTTAAGGCCTTTCAAAAAGAGACCACCGGAAAAATTTAGGGTATACTTGGTTTATAACTCTGAAAATAGTTCTCAAAAACTCAGAAAATAGGAAACAGTTTTCAGATAACTATAAAAAACTGTTCTTTAAAAACATGTTTTTTTTATAACCGAGCTTTTACAAAACAATTTTTAAAAAATTGAACTAAGTAGAGTTTATTGTACAATTTTTTATTTTCAATTTTTCGAAAACAAAAAATTATTTCATAATTACAAACCAACCAAGCCCTTTATAATTTCCCTATCTTTGTTTTTTCCAAACGCAACTTGAAACTTTGCTATCAAAAAACTGTTTTTTGACCTTCCGAAAAAAAAAAAAAAAATTTGTTTTTTGTGCCACCAAGCACAACTAAAAGTGAGTTGTCTCACTTGTGTTACATTTTGCAAAATTTTGATTATAATATAATTTTATAATAAAGCTCGTTAAATACAAACCAAATTTTGAATTCCTTGCAATTTCTTTTTCCTATTTTCCATTTAAAATTAACAAAAATAGGGAAAAGTCAAACTTGCCAAGTGATGATTGTGATCCTGTCACACTGTAATGTTTGAATAATTGAAGCTTGCAATTATATGGTTTTCGATGTTTTTTAAGGTTGATGACGAAGAATACGAAGGGTGCTCCATAAACTATTAATTCATGAATTTCTCTTGTTTTGACTTTGTTAAT